CAGTCGTTCTGAGCGACTCGACGACCCTGCCGACCTCCAGCGCGCCATCACGATTCAATGTCGCGCAGTCGAACTCACTCCGGATGACCATCCCAGCTTGTCGGGGTTCCTCGACAACCTCGGCGGCTTGCAGCAGCTTCGGTTTAAACGCTTCGGGAAGCTCGAAAACATCGAGAGCGCCATTGCGAGTCGCCAGCGTGCAACTGACTTGACTCCTGATAACCATCCCAATAAAGCGACCCGGCTGACCAACCTCGCTGTATCCTTGCGTAGTCGCTTCCAGCGTTGTGACGATGCCGACGACCTCGAGCGCGCCATCACGATTGAGCGCCGCGCGGTCGAACTCACTCCGGATGACCACCCCAACTTGCCGGCGCGCCTCGATAACCTCGGCAGCTTGCAGCAACATCGTTTTGAACGCTTTGGAAAGCTCGAAGATCTCAAGAACGCCCTTGTGTGTCACAGACGAGCTGTCAATCTTACTGTGCACAATCAACCCGACAAAGCAATCTGGCTGCATAACTTGGCAATCACTCTGATAATTGGCTTTCGCGTCGAAAGGACTATAGAACGTTTCGACGAGGCTCTTTCGTGTCTGATGTCTGCCTCCTCTCAATCGCTTGCCTCGCCAGCAAAACGTCTTCAGATAGCGATGCATGCCATAATATTCCTCGACGAAAACCCCGAGGTCGGCACAGCGGAGATGCTGTTATCCGCTCACTGTCGCGTCCTTGATGTTCTCTCCGAGATCGTCTGGCTTGGACATAACATGAAACGGCGCCTAGAAGAGTCTCAAAAGCTTGGTCAGCTTGTCAGTTCTGCTGTGAGCACTGCCATTGGTGTCAATGCTTTGGTACAAGCCGTGGAATGGCTGGACAGGGGAAGAGGTCTCATATGGACGCAGACAATGTCATTGCGCGACCCTCTTCACAAGCTCGAGCGAGTCCATCCAGATCTCGCGCATGCTCTCGAGGACGTGCAAGTCCAACTGCAGTATTCCATTAATGCGTCGTCTGGGAGCGATGCTACTGCATCGATGAATGTAATTCCTGTCACAGTGCAGGACAATTACTCGTCAGATCGCCATCGAGGGCTTGCGATCAAACACGGAAACCTGCTCGCAGAAGTCCGTCGTCTACCTGGCTTCGAGACCTTCTTACTCCCGAAGAAGCTCTCTGCGTTGTTGCAGTCGTCTGCACCGTTCAGCGGCCCGGTCGTCTTCATCAATGTCGATCGCACTCGTTGCGATGTATTGATTCTCCTTCCTAATGGACATATCACCGCTCTTACTTTGCCGGAACTTTCTCTTGCTAAGGCGGAGAAGCTACGCACTCAGTGGACAGCGTATCTGAAACAGGAGAAAGTTCGCGAGCGCGCCAGCTCGCCGCGATATAAGCCTCGGTGCAGTGCTTTGTCTCCTTACACCGTCCTGAGCGACATCTGGAGATGGATTGTAGGTCCGATACTGAAAGCAGTCGGCACGGACATGGTTGTAAGTCACATGTCATTCTGATTATCCTAATTTTGTTGGTGGCTGAGATGCGCATTGCTTAGGACTTGAATGCCGATCGCCTTCCTCACATCACCTGGTGCCCCACTGGGCCATTGACGCAGCTGCCTCTGCACGCCGCGGGCATCTACGACGACGATTCAGGGCCGCGCGTATACAACTTTGTCGTCTCCTCGTACACGCCGTCGCTCTCTGCTTTGACTCGAAGCATCAACACCTTCACGCAGCAGCACAAGACTCCTGGCATCCTCATAGTCACGCAACCCAACACACCGGGCCTATCACCACTGCCGGGAACGACGCTCGAGGGCACGCGGCTGCGCGAGGTCTTCGCCACCTCACAGACGCCTTCCGTGGCTCTTAACGGAGACGAAGCGACGACCGATGTCGTTAAGCTCGCGCTTAAAGAGCACTCCTGGCTGCATCTCGCCTGCCATGGCTCTCAAGAGGTCACTGATCCCTTGAAAAGTGCCTTCGCGCTGTACGACGGCCGACTGTCCTTATCAGATCTGATGGTGACCACGGCCGATAACGCCGAGCTTGCGTTCCTTTCCGCCTGCCAGACTGCCGTCGGGGATGAGAAGATCCCCGAGGAGTCGATGCACCTCGCGGCGGGCATGCTCGCCGTCGGGTACAAAGGCGTCATCGCGACGATGTGGTCGATCCAGGATGACGACGCGCCGTTGATCGTCGAGGCGTATTACAAGAAGCTGCTCGAGCTTCGCGCGACCGGGACGCTTGGCCCAGGCGAGACGGGCGCCGCGTACGCTCTGCATGAGGCAGCGAAGAGGTTGAGGGAGAAGGTCGGGGATAAGGGCGTCGTGCGGTGGGCGCCTTTCGTACACTTCGGGATATGAGCATTGGTTGAATCGGAAGGTCGGGCTCCGTTTACGTCTGCCCTTGGTTAGACTGTACAGCGTTCGTGGCGACGTGCTCTTGCTCTCATGATTTCGAGTTTCTATTTGATAAAGTAGAGTTTTGATGCCGAACGGATGTACGTAGTCCGCGCACCCATTGATGCAGACTCTGACAAGTGCGTCGGACAGTAAATCAGGCAAATGCATATTGATTGTTTCGCAGGAGCGGGTCGTCTCGACATATAAGTAAGATGTACATCTGAACCAGAGCAGAATGCTAGGTCAGTCACGGACTGACCAAGTAGGGAATGGACTACGCACCACTTCAATCCCATAACCTATCCTAACGTTATCCACCGACATTCTCGCCACATGACGTATGTATTCCATCCATTGTCTCACTCCAAGGGTACATGACGCTCCTCTATGGTCGTGCGGCGTACAGGAGGGTTTATCTTCTTGAGACTTGAAACTGAGCAGTATAGAGTCGACGCCGCTTCTGTGAACCAAGTACTCTCGCCAGGGAGGGGGGTATGCTGGGTGCCGAGATTGCCGGCGTTTTCGCCGACTAGTGCTTGGGTGTGCAGGCCTCGTCGCGTGCCCCGTCGTAACCTTCGGGGTACCCACATAGGGGAGCGCTAGCGTCACCAGCGAGATCGTATACGCTCGGTGAGAGAGCATCGAGGTCGGCATCTGAGAAGCTGTAGATGGTGATAAGCGGCGTTGTGCATTCAGTCAAGGGAGATGCTCACTTCAAGGGAGCAGCGCTGACCTTGATGTTCTCTTCACCCTCAACATGACGCGCCCATACCGCGCGGCGAGTTGCGCAAACCATGCCAGAGTATCAAATCGGCATGAGCGGTATTGGTATGAAGACTGGTAAAGCGACAAAGGTAGCGGCGTGCTGGGTGCTGACATTCCTATCGAGTCGTGAGCCAATGGTAAGGTAAGGCCCGCTGATCGGCGCTTGGGATTTGGCGAGCGAGAATCGATATCAGGGTATAGAGAGCTGTCGGCGACAATAAGCGGCATTACACGCAGGAAAGTCTATGAAGATGTTCACCTGGCGGTAACGGCACCGACCGCAAGCAAAGCTGAGCAGCGGGAGCATCGTGATAGTGATGAGGGGATCGCGGAGGATGGGTGCCCTGCACGCCCCATTTCTGAAGAGCAAAGTGTTAGCTAAGGCCGCCTTGGAGAGTATAATGGGTCACGACGCACCGAGATACGCGTACGAGTCCGGCGACCTAGCCTGTTTGAACTTCCGCGCAACTCCGACAGCGACTGGCGGCAGGCATGCCAGCCTGCACACATCGATACTGGTATCGACGGGGACCCTTGGGAGATGATATCCCCATTCGCGCAAGGTCTACCTACGCGCAGTGTTCACGAGAAGACGTGTGTGAACACTAGGGTTCATGGTGGTCGAAGATGAATATTTGAATCCTGGCGCGCGTGCCGCGCCGAGCGTCTATCCTTCCCACTTCCATTACCCTCCCGCGTCTCCTCGCACCTCAAGAACTATACGATACGACTTCCCTAGCTAAGGCACCTTCAGCGTTACTCCCCTCTCCATTTCATGAGGCCCACGCATCACCACCCAACAGAAGATTCGTCCTCGACAACTCAGTAGCACGTCTGGACTCGGCAGCGCGATCCTTTGCACCATTGCTCTCATTGCTCAACCTGCATCGATACGCTCTCCATCAATCATCTTTGCGCCCGAATCTGGCTTTGGGGCGCGCCAACAGCTATGGCGAAGACGGGCACGGAAGCTACCACCGCTCGCCGTCTTCCCCCAAGACCACGCCCTCGACGTATGCTCGCTCCCGCCCCGGTCTTGCCCCCCTAATAGCCATCCGGGAGCGACCTTGAGGAAGACGAATATGAAACTCCGAGGAGGGGAAGCCGGATCGTATAGGCCGAACATGAAGACACCCGCGCTTGGCGCCTATTCCTCGCCCGTCCGCGGCTCACTATCCGCCGTTCTCCCGCCTGCGCTTCGTGCAGACCGCCGCCACCGCACTCTCTTCGGATTCGCCCTCCTCGTCGCCCACACCCGAGCCGATGCCGCCACCGTCCTCCCACCTGACGCCCAGCTTTCGTCAGCTGGTCCTGGCACCGGTCTTATTCCCATATCTGAGACTACCACCAAAACAGGTTGTTTAATGCGACGAGGACGAGATGGTCCATTGGCGGAGATGCCGAGGAGGGCGATGAGGAGTCGCGCCGCAACGACGACAGCGAACGCGAGCTCTCGCAAGCACCCGCTCGATGGCAATCCGGGTAGTTCGTGCCTGCGAGCCACGGCTGCAGTATCCTAAATCCTCGCTCGATCTGGTCTCGGGACCCCCTTGTCGACCGCGAACGTCAAGGCGGCGGTATTCCTCGATACGCTCCGCGGCCTCCGCTCGTCACAGTCGTCATTGGCCTCAATCGCACATCCCAGCTCGGATAGGCTACCTTCGCCCGCACACCATCCACCGACACGCTGGGTGCCGCGCGCCTGAACGTTCCCGAAGTGGAGGGGCGACGGAGGAGCCTTTGGGCGACAATCTTCTGAATCGAAGGCCGGCTCCGAGTCTTCACGCAGATCGCGACGCACGAGGTCGGCCGCGTTTGTATCGCGTGTCGAAAGACGTTGATGATAGTCTTCTACAGCTCGTGCACGGACGTCAAGAGCTTCGTTGGTTCGGGCGTCACGCTCGAAGCTGGTTGGCGCATACACGTACATTGGCGTGTGCGGGCTCTGTACTTGCTCTTGCCATTGTCGTACATAGTACCAATGTGTTACAGATACAACGGGTTTGAAAGGGTTTTGTATCATAGGACGCGTGAAGAACGCGATAATGCGAAACAGTGCGGAAGACAACTCAGAGACCGACTCCAAGGCCGGAAGCCAGGTCAGCGCTGCCACTGAGGTTGGGCAGAATGTCGGTGTATCCCGTTGTGATCACCACCCTATATCCCTCGCCCTCGAACCCAGAAGTCAGGCTCCGACCCCGCCGATGAGGTCGTCAACGTCGGGGGAACGCGCCTGGACCTGAGAGCCCGCCGCGCTAGAGGATACAAGCATCTTCGTCGCCATGCCCGTCGAAGCCCTCCACTCCGGCAAACAGCGCACTAACGCCACCGGTACATCGAAGAGGTCGCGCGGCGAAATCCGTTGATGTCGATAGCGAGACTGGGGCCGGCGTAGCGTGTTGCTTGCCCATGCCGCAGTTGAGTCGAGTGTCAGAGTCGCATCAGGGTGGTTGACGGTTGAGGATGTACGTCTCTCCCTCTCCCACTCCTCAGGAGTCGACGATGAGCGCGCGGCTACCCCAATGGTATGTCCATAAGCCGAAAGCGTTTAAGGGTGTCCTCGTATTCCGCGATCGTCCTAAGACTCCTTGGGATCATATATCTCGGGTGAGCGAGCGTCAGAGGTAGCGCCCAAAGAGCTGTAGGCGATGGTCAGCGATAGTGTACGCCGAGTAGTCGGAGGAAATGCTCACCTAAGTAGCGAGTGCGGTGCCGAGCATGTACATGCTTGTAGTGGAGAGTCGTCGATGGTGAAGGGCTGTGGTAGAGTCGAAGATTCGGGTCGGTGGGGTCTCAACGCCCAGGATGGTCGTCTTTCCTTGCAAGACAGCAGGGTGTCAGTATACGTAGACTAGGTAGGTACGGTGGATCACAACGCACCGTGGCACACGTACAAGTGCGCCGACCTCTCCTGCCCGCCCTCCAGACCGACCCGGCGCGGTACCCTGCCAGGTCTACTCACAAGACCGACCCCATAGCGCGCTCTGCAGAGGTGATATCTTCATCGACATAGGTCTTCCTACGAGCGGCTATGAGTCCCCCCGGCTCTGTTCGGGAGCCGCATGTATGCGTTGCTGATCGGTTTCCGGGGCGTACACAGGATGAGTATGGTGGTTGCAGATACATCACGATTCACGACGCGCGCGAGCACGCCGAGCGGCCCTGATCCTGCCGCCACCATGGCCTTCCCACATCTCATCGCCCCTTGAGGATCTGTTCGGCACCATACGCGACGACCGCACAGCAGGATGCCTGTACTCGATGGCGTCCGGTGAAACTGCGCGGAAGGCTGGGACGCGATGAGGAGGACGGAGGCACAGGACGTGCATGACGGTTCGTCTATCACGATACCCTTCAGAAACGTCGCCCTGATATCTATATGCAGATAGAGTACAATACATACATGAATAGCATGTACGAATATCCCTCATCCAGCATCCGCGCAGCGTAGCGCAGTGTACAACTAGGATCCACTACGCTCTCGATTATCGGTTAGAGATAACGATATGCAAGGTCGGTTCGCGGCGTGCATATGAGACGTTATTGTACATAGCATTTCTAAAAGATCGGCGGTATGAAGGGCCTCGAATACTCTGGTGTGGGCCTTTGAAGCAAGGCAACGTGCTAGGAGAGGTGCTTCGGAGTCCCTACAGAGAGAGTGAGAGCGTGAGAGCGTGAGGTGAGCACCTGTGAGCACTAGCTCCGTTCAGAGGTTCAGAGTTGAGTTGCGCGGCGTGCAAACCGCTGTGCAAACTCGCCGTGCAAATTGAAATTCTCGTGCAAATGCGTGACGAGGAACAGCGTGACGTCGCGCCTCGTCCTTCAATGTCGCCGCCGCCGACGACGTCCCGAGACAGCCCGAGACCAAACAAGTGACGCGCAGTGCACGAGACGCGTTGCACGACGCCAAAGCTTGGCTCACACCGCCATGACCGCGATGGGCTTGGTTCATTGGAATTCAATATCTTTTCGAAAATGATGATGGGAAGAGATCGGGAAGAGACACATCCAAGGAACGGTGGATCTGCCATAGCAGTGCACGGCAGATTCCCTGAGCAGAGGTGCGCGCACTCTAGCCTCGTACTTATCTCATTCCGGATACTCATCCATCTTCAGACCCGAGCCGTTCCAATATCCCACCTGAGGGCCGCAGTGGAATGCCCTGTGCCCCCGTATCTGCCTCGCGCGTCGTGAGCTGTGCTGTGCATCCACCCGCTGCAACCGTCGCTCTCGTCCGTCTAAGTATTGTGGCAACTGGCGCTCGTGTGGACGCCAGGGAAATGGGAGAGTCTCGGTAAACTGAAGCCAGGAATGCGTCAAGGGCATAACGTCCGAATGCCGCTGCAGTGACCGGCGTGTCGGAGATGTACTTGTGCATAGCCTACTTATCGTTTGATAGTAGAGTCCGTCGTCGTTCATGACCGGCTCGATCTATTTGTCTTGTATTCATGAGCTGTCCCCATCCCCAGCGGCCACTTAAACTCTTACGTGCGATCCCTACCCAGGGCAGCGCGACCCGTACGCTGAAGATCGCTCCGTTCAACGGGCGTTTGGAAGGCGGTGCTGGCGCGCGGTTTCCTCACGTACCCAGCAAATTGCACATATCCTAGCATTCTCACTGACAGTACTATATATGCCCCGAATAAGGTCGTCGGTCGGCTTCCTTCCCCCCTCAGGCTCTAGCGCTTTCACCCGCACGGCTCGCCGTGAATATTCCTGCTTTTCGCGGTATCCTCTCTCTGAGACGGATCATTTCCGGCTACAGGGTGCCTTGCTTATGATGGATCAACAACCTGGTGCTACCGAAGAACAAGCTGCAGTACCCCCCGAAGTGAGTTCGCCAACACCTGGCGGATCGCCTTGCTCTGACCAGTCCCATTGACGAGCTCAAAGGAACCTTTGGATACGACGCTCCCGACTTCCGAGAGCTCGGAGGTCAATGATGTGGATGCTGCCAAGCGTGCATATGCTTCATACAAGCAGACGTGGGACATATCACACCTCGAAACAGCCATAGCACTGTTTCAACGAGCGGCAGACTCTGCACCAGTACCAACGTCGTCTCTGCTGGGCTCGCTGGGAAAATGTTTATATCTATATTACAGAGCTCGAGGGAACCTCGACAACCTTCAACGTGCCATTGCGGCTGAGCAAAGGGCGCTCCAACTCGTTCCAGAGGGACACCCAGACAGGGCTTTCCATCTGAGCAATCTCAGTTTTTCGTTGAAGAAACGCTTCCAATCCCTCGGCACAGTCGAGGACCTCAAAAGCGCCATCGAAATGCAACACGATGCAGTCGAGCTCACTCCGGATGGCCATCCCAGCTTGTCAGTGCGTCTCGACAACCTCGGTGGCTTGCAGGAGCTTCGTTCTCGACGCTTTGGAAATCTCGAAGACCTTGAAAGCGCGATTGCGAGTCAACAGCGTGCGACCGAGCTGACTCCCGACGACCATCCCGATAAAGCGACCCTGCTGAACAACCTCGCTGGGTCCTCGCGCCGTCGCTTCGAGCGTCTCAACGACCCCGCCGACCTCGAGCGCGCCATCACGATCCAACGCCGCGCGGTCGAACTCACTCCGCATGACTATCCCCACTTGCCGGTGCACCTCGGCAACCTCGGCGACTTGCAGCTGCTTCGTTTTCGACGGTTCGGAAAGCTAGAAGATCTCGAGAGCGCCATCGCAGGTCATCAGCGTGCAACCGAGCTGACTCCCGACGACCATCCCGATAAAGCGACCCGGTTGAACAACCTCGCTTTCTCCTTGCAAAATCGCTTCCAGCGCCTCGACGACCCCGCCGACCTCGAGCGCGCGATCATAATTCAACGCCGCGCGGTTAAACTCACTCCAGATGACCATCCCACCTTGCCGGCGAGCCTCGACAACCTCGGCGGCTCCCACCTGCTTCGTTTTGAACGCTTCGGAAAGCTCGAAGATCTGGAGAGCGCCATTGCGAATCAACAGCGTGCAACCAACCTGATTCCTGATGACCATCCCGATAAAGGGACCGGGCTGCACAACCTCGCCACGTCCATGTGCAGTCGCTTCGAGCGACTCGACGACCCCGCCGACCTGGAGCGCGCCATCACAATTCAACGTCGCGCGGTCGAACTCACTCCGAATGACGAACCCCACTTGCCGGGGCGCCTCGCTAATCTCGGCAGCTTGCAGCATCGCCGTTTTCAGCGCTTTGGAAGGCCCGAAGATCTCAAGAGCGCCATTGTGGATCACAGACGAGCTGTCAGTCTTACTGTGGACAATCAATCCGCCAAGGCCCTCCGGCTGCATAACTTGGCACTCACTCTGGTGGATGACTTCCGCCGAGAAAGGACAACAAATCGTTTCACTGATGCTCTTTCATGTTTCATGGCCGCCTCTCAATCACTTGCCTCGCCGGCAAAACGTCTCTGTACAGTGACATATACGCTCAAGTTCCTCGACGAAAACCCTGAATTCAGCACTGCTGAGATGCTGTTATCTGCCCACTCTCGCATTCTACATGTTCTCTCCGAGCTCGTCTGGCTTGGACATACCATGGAACGTCGCCTAGAAGAATCTCAGAAGCTCGGTCAGCTCGCTAGCTCTGCCGTGAGCACTTCTATTGGTGTAAATGCTCTGGAACAAGCCGTGGAATGGCTGGATGCCGGAAGAGGCCTCATATGGACGCAGACGATGTCATTGCGCGACCCTCTTCACGAACTCGAGCGAATCCGTCCGGATCTCGCGCGTGCTCTCGCAGACGTGCATATACAGCTGCAGAGGACTATCCATTCATCATTTCCTCCACGTGCTATGTCGATAACAGAGATTCGCGGTAACTCAGAGGCAGATTGGCATCGTGGTCTGGCCATTGAGTACGGCAATCTCATCACGGAGATTCGCCGACACCCTGGATTGGGAGACTTTATGCGTCCCCCCAAGCTTTCCACTATTCTTCCACTGTGCACATCTCTGCACGGAACCGTCGTGTTCTTGAACATTGATCAATCTCGCTGTGATGCTTTGACCCTAACACCGGACGGAACCATACATCCTATTCCTCTTCCCAAACTTTCCCTCGAGAAAGCGGAGAGAATACGGTCCCAATGGGTGACCTATCTCCAGCAGCGCAACATACGCCAGCGGATGGCTACTTGCATCAATCGTTGCTCGGACAGCACTTTACCTGTCATTCGCATACTGGGCCGTCTTTGGAGATGGATCGTTCTTCCCGTCTTGTCTGCGTTGAGAATTACAAACCTGGTCAGTACCCGTCACGGCACTGTCGCTTGTCGCTTGTCTGATATGTCCTTCATTCATCACAGCCGAGGGAGGGACGTTTGCCCCACATCACTTGGTGTCCGACTGGGCCGCTCACTCAATTGCCCATTCACGCTGCAGGCATCTACGACGAAGAGTTCGGCCCTCATACATATGATTATGTGGTATCATCTTACACCCCCTCGCTATCGACACTCACGCGCAGCATCGGCGCGCTCGCACAGCAGCGCGCTTCATCGCCGTCGGGTATCGTAGTGGTGACGCAGCCCGCGACACCCGGGTTGCCGGCTTTGCCTGGTACCACGCTTGAGGGTAAACGACTGCAAGAAGTCTTCAATGATGGCCCAAATGCCATCTCCGTCTTGAATGGGGAGCAGGCAACCATTGCTACAGTCAAAGAGGCTCTGAGAGAGCGACCATGGTTGCACCTCGCCTGTCATGGATCGCAAGACCTCACCGATCCGCTGAAGAGCGCATTCTCTCTCCATGACGGACCATTATCACTGCTCGACCTCATGAATACGACGGCGGACGACGCCGGACTCGCCTTCCTTTCCGCGTGCCAGACCGCCGTCGGCGACGAGAAGATCCCCGAGGAGTCGATGCACCTGGCAGCGGGTATGCTCGCCGTCGGGTACAAGGGCGTCATCGCGACGATGTGGTCGATCCAGGACGACGACGCGCCGTCGATCGTCGAGGCGTACTATAAGAAGCTGCTCGAGCTTCGCGCGGCCGGAACGCTCGGAGCGGGAGAGACGGGCGCGGCATACGCGCTCCATGAGGCGGGAAAACGCTTGAGGGAGAAGGTTGGGGAGAAGAATGTTGTCCGGTGGGCCCCGTTCGTGCACTTCGGAATATAATTGTCTGCCGAATCGGGTTGTTGGTCTCGTTTGCTTAGGGTTTCATCTGTCCTTGATCATGTAGAATACTCATCGTTTGCTTCTGTGCTTTCTATTGTAGACCGAGGTTGTAGATTGAGGGTAGATCGTTAGTGTGGTACAATCAGCGTTTTGACGAATGTATATGTAGACCTGGCGAGGATAATAGGACCTGGCGAGCGCATTGACAACGGTGAGAGAAAAGACATTTATTCATCTGTACGGCAGAGCTTCTCGTCTCGACATAAAGGTGAGGATGTATCTGGACCTGCGCAGAATGCCGGGTCAAAAAACAATGGTCAGGCCAAATGGGGAGCAGATCGCGTACTGTGCACTTCGATTCCATGACCGTACACGCGCACAACAGTACAAGTACGCTCCAACATTCTGCTCACATAACCATTGCATGGTATGCGACGTCCCTCGAACGCCACATGGCGCGCAGACCCTCACATCGTTCTTGCGATTCAGATTCGGGCGCGTACGCTCGCACAAGTAGCTTCGAATAACGTTCTACCGGCGCCGCGAAGCCTGCTGCCACCCCGGAGAAACGCGCGCCGATCCCACAGATGATCCGTATATGCACGTTCGGAGACACCGTCAGGAGCTGAAGCTGAGGCAGGCGAGGTTAACGCTTCAGCTTTCACGCGTCTTTGCTGCTTCCCCAATCTTGGCAGCAGATACGACGCGATTCAGCGCGCGGGTGCCGCCGGTCGTATCGCCTTGGTCTTGCTTTATCACGCTAACGACGTTTCTGGCGAGACTGTGGGCATCCTCAGCGCGCGGCGCAATAGCGCCTCAGTGCCCATGCCGAGCCTAACTCGTGCGCCACTGTCGAGGCCCGCCGAGTGACGCTTGAAAGTGTGGGCGTTCTCGTGTCCACCTGAGGATATAGTCGTTAGAGCCACGTTCACCCTCGTCGCGGAAAGCAACGCACCGATATCGCCGGACAAGTCTCGCGATTCTCGACTGAATAACCAGCCAACTGAAGCGGTGTTGATGATTAGCCTGGCGCCCGCAGGCTACGGCGAGGGCAGCGATATGTTGGATGCCGAGCTTCGTGTCGAAGCCGCATGAGGTCCCGCCGACTGGCGCTGGGATATGTAGGCGCTCTCGTTGCCTGCTGCGTCATGACGCTCCGGTTACCCGTGAATGAGAGCGTCGGCGCCACCAGTAAGGTTGTATATCCGAGGTGAGCGCCCGATGACCTGTAGACGATGATAAGCGATATCGTGTATTTAGTCAGGGAAGCTGCTCGCCTGGCAAGCACGGCACCGAGCGCGGGACCAAGCGCAAGCGCGAGGCATACGAACGTGCAGAGCCGATTTACGGAAGCATCTTGATAGTGGACTGAAAAACATGGTTGCTGTTTCTGACCAGCGAAGTGTCAGCTTACGCGTGAGGATGATGAAGATACGCGTACGAGTCCAGCACCCGCCGTTGCTTGCTGTTCAGAATCGGAGCTTCCGCGCCTCTGCTACAGGAAATCGCAATAGGCCAGAGTGTGCAGTGCCGTCCGCGCGCGGAAGACCGGGTTCAAGCTGAGCTCTTGAGAGTGCGTATATTCAATGACGCGGAGTCTTCCTGCGAAATGTCTGTGAGCCTTCTTTGCACTATTTAATAACTTATGTGGCCCATACGCACACCAGCTCCCGCCTTTACCAAGCTCACAGGTCTAGGCTGTTCACTGACTTGCGCGGTAGCCGGGAATGGGTGGGGAGATTTGGGGAGGACATGATGGTCCGAGAGAGCACGCGTGCCGCGCCGAGCGTCTTCCCACCTCCGTGACCCTCCCCACCTCTCATCCTACACCTCAAGCACATACGATACAACTTCTCTAGCGGAGGCTCCTTCAGCAACACACTCCTATCGCTCCAATACCGTCTACCACGCGCTCAATCCTCGGCGCGAATCTTGCAATGTCAACCCAGTGGCAAGTCTGAACTCGTCGCGCCGGAGGACGACATCGACTGGAGAGGATGAGAACGAGGGGGAGGATGGCATAGAGGAGGCGGATGGGCAAGGCGGAGGCTTGGTCGGCGTACGCCGTTTTGGCACCAGTTGGATCGACGACGGCAAAGACATGCCCGGCGCCGCACTGGATACCGACTCCGACGACACGTCTCCGGTGCCAGACGGGCGCACAAGCGATGGCCAAATCTTGCGCTCGTCATCTGCAGAGCGATCTTGCTTCCCCAGCGCAGCGTGCGCCCGTTCAATTGCGCTTAGACCGCAGCGCAATCCTTCGAACCATTACTCCCCGACGTACGACAGCAAAGGCGCGCTCGACGCTGTGCTCTCCATTAATCATCTCTGCGCCCGAGGCTGGCTCCGACGACGCCCCAACAGCTACGGAAAGGGCGCCAAGTTCCCCGCGCGCTGCGCAGACGACCAAAATCATCTGGGTACAGAAGGCTGAAGCTATCACCGTCAATCTCTACCGTCGCTGTCCACGCCCTAGACCACGTCCTCCGTGCATCATCGCTCCTGCCTCGATCCTGCTCCCCTTCCCACCGCTCGTAAGCGCCCTTGAGGAAGTAGCCTGCCGAGACTGGAGAGGATGGTGGATGATATAGGCCGTACATCGAAGAAGACGTCCGCGCTTGGCTCCCATTCCTCGCCCGTGTCGCCCAGCAACACCAGCCCGCGGCTCACTATCCGCCTTTCCCCAACCTGCGCTTCGTGCGGTATCAATCGATTGTCGTCACCTTGGGGACCTTTCCGGCGCTACATACATCGATTGACTCCGCCGTACGCGTCCGCCAGAGGAGTGCGCTCAGTCGCCCGTCTACCACCGACATCGCACTCTTCCATCTCCCTTCAGCGCCACGATCCGTCGAGTCGCCGGTCCCGACTTGCGCTGGCATCGCCCAGACCGACGGACGACGATCAAGACGCGTCTGTCACTAGGCGCCAGTTTCGACGGCGGGCTCGCAGCGTTCAGTAGCAAGTCTGGAGTCGAATGAGGGCGAGGGAGACGAGAGGGAGAGGAGGATGAAGGCGTAGGAACTCACCGCTGCCACCGCTCTCTCTTCGGATTCGCCCTCCTCGTCGCCCACACCCGAGCGGGTGCCGCCACCGTCCTTCCATCTGGCGCCCAGCTTTCCTCAGCCGGTCCTGGTACCGGTCTTATCCCCATATTTGAGACCGCCACCAAAAAAGGGTGTTCAAGGCGACGAGGACGAAATGGTCCGTTGGCGGAGATGCCGAGGAGAGCGACGAGGAGTCGCGCCGCCGCAAGCATCCGCTCGATGGCAATTCGGGTACCTCGCGCCTGCGAGCTACGGCTGCAATATCCTAAATCCGGCTCCGGGATCCCCTTGTCGACCGCGAACGTCAAGCGACGGTATGGTAGTACGTATCCCTTTCTCGATACGCTCCGCGGCCTCCGCTCGTTCACCGCCTCCACAGTCGCTATCGGCCTCGATCGCACATCCCAGCTCGGATAGGCTACCTCCGCCCGCACACCATCCACCGACACGCTGGGTGCCGCGCGCCTGAACGTTCCCGAAGTGGAGGGGCGACGGAGGAGCCTGAGGACGACAATCTTCACGCAGACCGCAACGCGCGAGGTCAGCCGCGTTTGTGTGGCATGTCGAAAGACGCTGATGATGGTCTTCTACAGCTCCTACACGGACGTCAAGAGCTTCATTGATCTGGGCGTCACGCTTGGCTCATACACGTACAACGGCGTGTGCGGGCTCTGTACCTACTCTTGCCGTTGTCGTAGTATCAATGTAGTACGGATACAACGGGTTTGAAAGGGTTATATATTATAGTACGCGTGAAGAACGTGGCAATGCCAGAGCAGTGCGGAAGACAACTCCAAGGCTCGAAGCTAGGTCAGCGCTGCCACTGAGGTTGTCCGGCAGAATGTGGTTATGTATACGGGTATCCCCGTTGTGATCCCCACCGTATATCACTTGCCCTCGAACCCAGAAGTAGGCTCCGACCCCGCCGATGAGGTCGTCAGCGTCGGGAGAACGCGCCTTGACCTGAGAGCCGCCGCGCTGGAGGATGCAAGCATCTTCGTCGCCATGCCCGTCAAAGCCCTCCGGGCAAATAGCGCACTAACGCCACCGGTATATGGTAGAGGTCGCGCGGCGAAATTTGTTGCTGTCGCTGGCGGAGTTGGGGCCAACCTCTGCGAGTGGGGTAGTGTGTTGCCTGCCCATATCGCAGTCGAGGTGAGGACCAGGATCCCATCAGGGAGGTTGACCGTTGAGGATGTACGTCTCTCCATCTTCCGCTCCACAGCAGCCCTCAAGAAAGCTGGGAGACGCACAGCTACCTCCGATGGTATCTCTGTGAGCCGATGATGTAGGTATCTTCGTCTTTCGACCTCGACCTCGACCTCGAACTCCTCGGGGTATTCACGTGTGAGAGCGTAGGCGCTACCAGCGAGATTGGTATATCTTAGGTGAGCGAGCGTCGAAGGTATGGCCGGATGAGCTGTAGGCAATGGTCAGCGATAGTATATGCCGAGTAGTCGGAGAAGGCGCTCACCTAAGTAGCGAGTGCGACGCCGGGCACGAGGCGGACGAGCGTGCGGAGACTTGTGGTATGGTGGATCGGTAGAGGTGGATGTGAAGGACTGTCATAGAGTGGCAGACTTGGGGAACTCGGGTCGGTGGGGTTGCCGCGCGGCACTCTGTTTTTCTGCTAGACAGCAGGTTGTTAATATACGTTGACTAGATCGGCATGGTGGATCGCGACGCACCCTAGCACGCCGACTCCTGCTCGCTCTCCAGTCTGACCAGGAGCGCTACTCTGCTCCAAGTCGACTCGCGACAGGCCAGCACCGTATGCGCACACAAGACCGACCTCATAGCGCTTTCTGTCGAGGTGATATCTTCATCACCATAGAGTCTTCCTACAAATGGCTATGAGTCTGCCTGGCTCAAATCGCATGTGACCGCGTACCGTACAACACTCGCCTTTAAGCTTTCGAGGCAGCCTGGGCACATTTATGCGTGGGCGATTAAATTCCGGGACGTACAGAGGATGTGGTGGTGGTCGCGGATGAATCACGACGCGCGCCGAGCATCTGTCCTGCTCACCACCACGGGCTTCCCATCTAATGCTCGACGGACACGCAAGCCGCTGCAACAGGCCTACTACATTCTTTGTGCCCGCCAACAACACCCTACTTGACAAGTATCTGGAGCGCGATGTTGCTTCCCCAGTCCTGCACACACCCTCTGGCCTCGTCGTTCGATTGCAGCTGAACCGCAGCGCATACGACGGCAAGGACGCGCTCACCGCTGCGCTCTTCATCTTTGTACCCAAAACTGGCGACGACGACGCGCCAACTGCTACGACAAAGGCGCCCATTCACTCGCGCATTATGCAGGCGACCAAGATCATCCGGGCCCATTCAAAAGACCGATGAGAAGAAACACATTCAAGGAAACTCGAGAAATGATGGCCGGATTTCCTGCGCGTTCTACGCGCCTGTATCTGCCACCGTAGTGCACGGCATATTTCCCGACAGAGGTGCGCGCACGCTACCGTCATACTTAGCTCATTCCGGATACTCATACATCTACAGACCCAAGCCATTCTCATGTCTGACGGCGTCACACATATACCCCCGTATTTGCCTCGCGCGCCGTAGGCTGTGCCATGCATCTCTCTAGCACGACCGTGGGCGTACTAGGACTCCGCCGAGGCCCGCTACAACCATTGCTCTCGCCCGTCTGCGTCCAGAGCATAGTTTTGCATTGTCGATGTATCGCCTGTCGGCAAGGTGTACTTGTGCACAGCCTGCTTGCCATTTGGTAGTAAATTCCATCATCATTTATGACTGGTTCGATCTACGTGTGCATATTGTATCCACGAGCCATCCCCTTCATGAGTGTTGACTGAATCTACTACGTGCGATCTCCGAGTTCAACTACTACTACTACGACTTCGGACCTGGCGAAGTCCAACCGTATGCTGAAGGGTGTTCCCTTCATCGAGCGCCTGCAAGGCTGTGTTGACGCGCGGCTTCCTTGAGTTCCCAGCGAAGTACCGATGTCCTAGCGTTCTCATTGACACCGCTATATATACTGCGACTGACTTTGTCGATCGGCTTCTTTCCCCCTCTAGGGCATCTACCCGCGCGGCTCGCTGTGAGCATTCTTTCCGTCCAATAATATCCTCGTTCTAAAACTGATCATCTCCCGCTCCAGGCTAATTGCGTTACGATGGATGAACAACCAGACAATGTCGAAGGGCAAGCCGTCGAACCTCCCGAGGTGGGTTCGCCAATATCTGGCGCATCACGTTGCTCTTTGCAGTTTCATTGACGAGCTCATAGGAGCCTGTGGATACGACGTCTTCGACTTCCGAAAGTTCGGAGGCTGATGATGTAGATGCCGCCGAGCGTGCATATGCTTCATACGGGCAGACGTGGGACCTAGCCCATCTTGAGACAGCCATAGCTCAATTCCAACGAGCGGTGGACACTGCACCCGTACCAACAGCGTATCCGCTAGGCGAGCTGGGACATTGTCTACATCTATATTACGAAGCTCGGGGAAATGTTCACGATCTCCAACGTGCCATTGCGGCGGAGCAAAGTGCCCTCCAACTCGTACCAGACGGACACCCGGGCAGGGCTTTGCGTCTGAACAATCTCAGTACCTCATTTCGAAAACGCTTCGAATCCCTCGGTACAGTCGAAGACCTCGAAAGTGCCATTGAAATGCAACAGCATGCAGTCGAGCTCACCCCGGATGACCATCCCGACTTGTCAGCATACCTCGACAACCTCGGAGGCTTGCTTTGGCTTCATTTTCAACACTTCGGAAAGCTCGAAGATCTTGAGAGCGCCATTGCGAGTCACCAGCGTGCAACCGGGCTGACTCCCGACGACCATCTCCGTAAAGCGACCCGGCTGCACAACCTCGCTGCGTCCTTGCGCAGGCGCTTTGAACGTCTCGACGACCCCGCCGACCTCGAGCGCGCCATCACAATCCAACGCTGCGCGGTCAAACTCACTCCAGATGACCACCCCAACTTGCCAGTGCACCTTGACACCCTCGGCAGCTTGCACCACCTTCGTTTTCTACGCTTCGGAAAGCTCGAAGATCTCGAGAGCGCGATTGCGAGTCACCAGCGTGCAACCGAGCTGACTCCCGACGACCATCCCGATAAAGCAAGCCGGCTGCACAACCTCGCTCTGTCCTTACGCAGTCGCTTTCAGCGTCTCGATGACCCCGCCGACCTCGAGCGCGCCATCACGATCCAACACCGCGCGATCGAACTCACTCCGGATGCCCATCCCGACTTGCCAAAGCATCTCGACAATCTCGGCGGCTTGCAGGAGATTCGTTTTCAACGCTTCGGAAAGCTAGAAAATCTCGAGAGCGCGATTGCGAGTCAACAGCGCGCGACCGAGCTGACCCCTGACAACCATCTCGATAAAGCGACCCGGCTCCACCACCTCGCTCTGTCCTTGCGCAGTCGGTTCGGGCGTCTCGACGACCCCGCCGACCTCGAGCGCGCCATCACGATTCAACGCCACGCAGTCGACCTCACTCCAGATGGCCATCCGGGCTTGCCGAGGCGCCTCGATAACTTCGGCAGCTTGCAGTGGGCTTCGTTTCGACACTTCGGAAAGCTCGAAGATCTCGAGGGCGCCATTGTGGATCAGAGACGAGCTGTCAATCTGACCGTGGACAATCTACCCGACAAGGCCATGCGGCTGCATAACTTGGCATTCATTCTGATGATTGGCTTTCGCCGCGAAAGGACGATAGAACGTTTCAACGAGGCGCTTTCATATTACATAGCTGCCTTCTCTCAGACACTGGCATCACCAGCAGGCCGCCTTCGGATAGCCACCCAGACGATAAAGTTCCTCAACGAAACCCCGGAGTTCAGTACAGCTGAGATGCTGCTATCCGCCCACTCTCATGTCCTCGACGTTCTCTCCGAGGTCGTCTGGCTTGGACATACCATGGAACGGCGCCTAGAAGAATCTCAGAAGCTCGGCCAGCTCGTCAGTTCTGCTGTGGGCACTGCCATTGGCGTCGATGCTCTGGAACAAGCCGTGGAATGGCTCGATGCAGGAAGAGGCCTCATTTGGACGCAGACAATGTCATTGCGCAGCCCTCTTCACGAACTCGAGCAACTCCGTCCAGATCTCGCGCACGCTCTCGAAGACGTGCATGTTCAACTGCAGAGCTCGATCTGTGCTTCAGATGATGATGATGCCGTGCTGGACCTTCACGATGGTTCATTGACTGGTATTGGGCGTACTCGCGCGGATCGTCAACGCGGCCTGGCGATCAAGCATGGGAAACTCCTCTCAGATATCCGCGAAGTCGAAGGTTTCGATAGCTTTATGCTTCCTAAGAAGCTTCCCGCGTTGCTTCCCTCATCCACACGTTTCAGTGGAATTATCATCTTTATCAATATAGACCATGTGCGGTGCGACGCGTTGGCTCTATCCGCAGATGGTGCAGTCAAGGTTGTGCCATTACCGAAGCTCTCCCTGGAGAAAGCGACAGACCTGCGGGTTCAATGGCTGTCGTACCTCGACCTGAGCAACGCTCGTGAGCGCGGTACCCTTCGGGACCAGTCGACCCTTGAACATGATGGCACCGGGAGAACAGCATCTGCACGTCGTATTCTAGGCCGCATTTGGAGATGGATTGTCCTGCCAGTACTGCAGGGTCTTGGCCTATACGAGCACGTGAGTTTTTATTTGACTTTTGCAGCCTGCCGAATGCACTGACGTGTCTTCAGAAAGAGCCGCTCCCCCATGTTACCTGGTGTCCCACTGGGCCGCTAGCGCAGCTGCCTTTACATGCAGCGGGTGTTTACGAAGACTCTGGACACCGCGTTTACGACTTCGTGGTCTCTTCGTACACCCCGTCACTCTCCGCGCTCACGCGCAGCGTCAATGCGGTCGCAGATCATCCTCCCACCCCGAACGCGCTCGTTGTGACGCAGTCAGATGTCCCCGATCATACATCCCTGCCAGGGACCCTGGTCGAAGGGGAACGTATACAAGAGGTGTTGATGGAGTTCAACCTCGAGTCCTCCGTCTTAACTGGGAACACTGTGTCAAAAGCCGCCGTACGCTCCGCCTTGAACAAGCACAGCTGGCTGCACCTCGCTTGCCATGGCACTCAAAACAGAGAAGACCCCTTGCAGAGTGCCTTTGCGCTTCACGGCGGCTCGCTTTCGCTAAGCGACCTCATGAATACCAGAGCAGACAACGCAGAGCTTGCATTCCTGTCCGCGTGTCAGACCGCCGCCGGCGACGAGAAGGTCCCAGAGGAGTCGATGCACCTCGCAGCGGGCATGCTTGCCGTGGGGTACAAAGGCGTCATCGCCACGATGTGGTCCATTGATGACAACAGCGCGCCACTTGTTGTCGAGGCGTACTACAGGAAACTTCTCCAGCTCCGCGCATCGGGGACGCTTGGAAAGGGGGAGACGGGCGCGGCATATGCTCTGCACGAGGCCACGAGGAGATTGAGGGAAGAGGTCGGGGATAAGAAGTTTGCCCACTGGGCGCCATTCGTGCATTTTGGGATATAGAATATTGATGTTCGTCGAATGGCTTGTTTCGAGGTTTCCGTGTATCACTTGGAATCATCATCTTTCTCATAATATAAAGCACGATGACACGAATCGCGTCGGCATGCGTTCTTTCGACCCTCTCGGGTCGCTACCCCTTCACCAGCAGTGACGGCGCGGCAGTAGGCGGCAGTACGCCAACATGTACATTCAGTGCAACGGAAGCGGTAAGTACATGTGACGCTTGAACCAGGATCTCACAAAAGCATCTCTCCAGCCATATAGACTCACAAACAAAGTCATGACATGTATAAATCTAGGAGACGTAGAAGGTCAGGCTGCCATTCGATATGTCAGGGAATAGCAGGGAACCAACTACGCACTATTTCGACCCTTATTGTCTCGCGTCCGCTTTGCTGTCGTATTACTCCTACTTATCCTATATCCTTGCCTCATCTATCTGGGACACAAGCGGGCGCAGTATCTAGGGCGTTCATGAGTGAAGACGAAGAGGCAGGTCATCACATCGCGGTCGTGGTTCAAGATCCATTGATGTGTGGGCGGGCATGCCGCATGCCACAGCCCTCCGAGTCTTCTCACCTTACACCCACCATCAATATTCAATGCTCAACTTGAAACGTATAAGCTTCAAGCGTCAATACTCAATCCTATCCCTCGTACTTTGGATAAACGTTGGCAACTTTACAGACTCGTCACAGGCTGATCTGCAACCATCACCGCCAAGGCCGTCACAGCCAACGCTCTCGAAGCTCGAAGGCTTTTCCGCTGAGCCTCGACGGGTATTCCGCTAGACGCCAGGAAAGTGCACGTGCACAAGCGAATCTGACGTTGACCAGATGAACATTCAAAAGGCGTTAACACCGTCACCCGTAAGGACGCGTCGGCACGGCATGCACTGAAGTCTATGCGCGGGCGTTGTGCCGCGCTCTCTCGCTGTACCGGGCGTCTTGTGCAGCCTTTTGCGATCCACGTCGATGGCCGAGGAGCTCTTAACTCCTCGTATCCCGTCATGCACGTACCATCGAGCTCAGGACGACTGAGGTACTATAAAGGATCACGGCCATTATTCAAACACGTCTGACCTTTCTTCTCCACTGTGCAGCCTACTCCCGTCGACAGCCATACGATGAAGAAGCCTTTACACGCACTGATCCGCGACCAACGCGAGAAGGTCCCACCCGTCGCCAAAGCGGACCTCAGCAACAAGATCGTCATGGTCATCGGCGCCAACATCGGCCTGGGATTCGAAGCGACGAAGCATTTCGCTCGGATGAAGCCCGCCCGTCTTATTCTTGCTTGTCGTAGCGAGGAGAAGGGGAAGCTCGCTATCCAAGGTACGTGAAGGAGCTCTACATCTGTACGTGCGCTGCTGACGCACAACGTATAGAGCTCGAGAGGGTGACCGGCTATCGTGGCTCCGAACTACGCCTTGTTGACCTTTCTAGCTTTGAATCGGTTCAGGCATTTGCAGACGGTATCGAGCGTGATGCCCTCGCGATCGATATCGTGGTCTACAATGCTGGTGTTGTGATGAAGGAGCACCAGGCGACTGCTGACGGCTGGGAGCAGACGTGCGTCTCCGTCATTCACTCTGGAAAACACAGTCCAGCACTGATGCTACCTCAGGATCCAAGTCAACGTTCTATCGGCGCTGCTCCTTCCAGTCCTCCTCATCCCCGCCGCACAGCGTGCCGCCGCGGAGCACCCCGAATCGAAACCACGCCTGGTCATAGTCGGCAGCGACGTCCACTTCTGGGCCGAGATGCCCGAGAAGGTCATCCACAGTCCAAGCGGAAAGGTTCTCGCCGAGCTCAACAAGCCCGAGAACTGGCTCAAAGCGACGACGCGCCAGCCGCGCTACTATCAGTCCAAACGTCAGTGACCTGTCCTCATCTGTCGCTCGAGAACGCGTGCTGATATTCGGGTTCGCTTGCACCAGTTCTGATCCTCCTCCTCATCCGCGAACTCGCAAAGCATCTAGAGCGTACACCAATCGTAGCAGTCGTCGTCAACCCCGGCTACTGCGTGTCCGCCTTACGGCGCAACCTTCCCGCCGGTGCCCAGTTCGGGGCACGCGTCATGGAGATCATCATAGGGCGCAGTACCGAGGAAGGATCCCGCATGCTCGTATGGGCGGGGGTCGGCAATGAGGGGCGCGAGGACGAGCTTCGCGGGGCGTATGTTAACCTCTGCAGGATCGAGGAGCCGAGCGACTTCGTGATCTCCAAAGTCGGGCAGGACGTTCAGAGGCGGTTATGGGTGCGTGACGCGGGCTTTACATGCGCCGTATCGTTCTCTGATACTGATAAGATGTTCCTTGCAGGCTGAGTCGGTCGGGGTTCTCTCTGCCGTGTCACCTGCGTTCAAGCAGGTGTTGTCGCGAATTCCAGCTTAGCGGAGCGGAGGGTCGAGGTTCGAGGTCACGATGAGGATTTCACGTAGTCCCTGCACCGTATTCTACAGATGATGCATACCTGCCATTGCCTCGCCATAAGCGCATACGTAGTCAACTTGCAACATGGAGGTGATGACATCTAAGGCTGCTTCGCGAGAGAGAAGCTCGACGGCACGCACTGGGCAGCGTTCGGGCAAGGCTCAGATCCCCGAGGTCATCCCGAGGCGGTGACGCCGAGGCAGTTCATCACATATATGCATCGTATATGCATCTTCCTGTACGATCGTTATGGCTTGATGCAGTTCGGAGTTCGTTGGAAAAGCGACTTGTATTGGATGTATGTGGTACATGGAACGAGGGCATCAGTAGTTCATGAATGGGTATACATGGAGAAACATGGAAGTACTAGTACTTAGTGAGGACGCGGAAGAATTGTGTTGTACAGGCTTAGATGCCAACGCCGAAGCTCGAACCCAAACCGGCGCTCCCACCGAGCACAGCGCCAAGAGAATCAACACCGGAAGCGCCCGCGCCTGCACCAGTGCCTACCCCAGCATCGCCACCAACAAGCGAAGCAACGTCGCCACCGAACCCAAGACCCTCAAGGGCGCTTCAGAATGTAGTCGTCCTCGCCGCCACCACCACCGTATCCCTCGCCCTCAGCCCCAAAAATCAACGCGCCGATTCCGCCCGTAAGGTCGTAGAAGTCCGGAGCGCGCGCCTCGACCTCGGAGACATCGCGCTTGAGGATATATTCGTCTTCGCCGGCTTCTCCACCGTAGCCCTCAGCCCCGAAGAGTAGCGCACCGATGCCGCCTGTTGTATCGTACAGATCGCGCTTCGAGACCGCGTTAACGGCACCAGCGAGACCGAGGCCAGCCTCAGCGAGCGGAACAGCGTGTTGGATCCCCATGTTGGACGCGAGATGAGAGCCGATGTCGGAAGACCCGGCAAGCTGCCGTTTGAGGATGTACGCGTCTTCGTCGCTCTCTCCTGCTTCTCCCTCGGGATAGCCGAAGAGGAGCGCGCCGATACCGCCGGTGAGGTCGTACAGATCGCGCTTGGGTATAGAGTTGAGAGGGACGGCATTGCCGAGTCCGAGGCCTTCGCCGAGCGCGGCGCCCATGTTAATATCGAGTCGAGAGCCGACCTTGAGGTTCTCGATCTGGCGCCTGAGGATGTATGCGTCCTCGTCGCTGTCTCCGCCGTAGCCCTCGGGGTATCCGAAGAGAAGAGCGCCGATGCCACCGGTCAGGTCGTACACGTCCGGCGAGCGAGCATCGAGGTTGGATCCCGAGCTGTTGCGAATCATGGTCAGAGCCGATTGAGAGGTTGTCAGGGTGAAGGCAGCTCACCCAGCGGGAGCGGCGCTGACTGCGATACCGAGCGCGAGGCAGACGAAGATGTGGAGGCGAGTGGCGGAGAACATGTCGAATATGATGCGAAAGAAGGGTGTGGAGGAGTAGTAGAAGATTGAAGTTGTAGATGAAGTTGGATTAATGAGGTATAGTTGCCCATCGAGCTCCATAGTTATATCCGCGCGGCTCCTCAGGGGTGACTGCCGTATCTCCTTTCTAACCAGAGGGTTAATATATGCAGTCTCGGAAAGGGATCGAAGGATCGCGGCGTACCGAGACACGCGTACCAGAGCCATTCGCATCTCCTAGTTGCCCTCTCCTCTCTGCACGGGTACAATGTTGCCGAGGCCTGACCGGACCGGACGCGGCGGGCGACGGCGACGACTGTGGGAGGGCTTGGTACAGTACTTCGCGGCGTTCGAGGCCACAGCACCGGTGATTCAGTCTCGTCAACAACGTCGAGTATGATCTGCAAACGATTGTCAGCGCTGCTCGTCCAGGAAGCTGTCCGATGTGACCGCGCACTGTGTTGGCCTCGTTTATCGGGACCGTTGCAGGCCATTGTCCTTTATGAGATGCATGCGAAGCGGCGAGCAAGAGTAGATGCGCGGAGCATCAAGCACAGTCGTCGTCTGTGCTGGCGGTGAGGGCTGGTGAGGAGGGATCATGGTGGTCGCTGCTACCCGCCGCGCGCGGCTGCTGCATACTGATGCGGCGAGCCGGAGAATTCTCGCGCTACCGTTGCCTCCCGCCTCCCCTTCTCGTGCTTGCTTGCGTCTGGTACACCATAGTACTGGCTTCTCGGTGCATCGAGCTCGCCGGGTGAGTAGTGTTCAAGCGTGAAAGCGCAAGCTGCATAAAGCCTAAGCTAGATGCGCAGAAGTCGGGCCCGGCGCGAGGTTCAAGCGCTCATCGACATCCTCGCACCGCGCCACAGCTGGAGCTTGCAACGGCAAGCAGAGAACTTTGAGATCTCTCAATCGAGAGAAAGTAAAGCATGTGCAGTGGATGTAGATGTGAATATGATACATTTGAAGAACGGGTAGTACAAGTACAGCGGTTTCAATGAGGGGTATATGTCATAAAAAGGCGTAAAAGTCATGATAGCGTGAAAGAAACACGAGAGGCAACTCAGAGATCAACTCCGAGGTTCGACGCCAGGTCGGCGTTGCCGCCGAGGCTGGGCAGAACGTTGGTGTCGCCGATGGGAGTGGACGCGGAGCCGAGGAGCGGGGCAGCGCCGCCGCCGAGACCGCCCAGTCCCAAGCGCTCGAGCTGGCGCTTCAGAATGTAGGTGTCCTCGTCGCTCCCCTCGCCGTACCCCTCGCCCTCGGCACCGAAAATCAAAGCGCCGATGCCGCCAGTGAGGTCGTAGAGGTCCGGAGAGCGCTTCTCAACATCCGCGCCGTCGCGCTTGAGGATGTACTCGTCTTCGCCGGCCTCTCCGCCATAGCCCTCGGCTCCGAAGAGCAGCGCGCCAATCCCGCCCGTCGTATCGTACAGATCGCGCTTCGGCGCCGCGTTGACGGCACCACCGAGACTGAGGCCAGCCTCAGCGAGCGGCACAGCGTGTTGAATGCCTATGTTCGAGCCCAGGAGCGAGCCGACGCCGGCGGTCGCGGGAAGCTGGCGCTTGAGGATGTACGTGTCTTCGTCGCCCTCCCCGGCATATCCCTCGGGGTAGCCGAACAGGAGCGCGCCGATACCGCCAGTTAGATCGTACGTGTCGCGCTTGCCGACGAGGCCCCCGGTGAGCAGCCCGCCTCCGATTTCGAGCGGGCCGATCTTCGCGAGCTGGCGCTTGAGGATGTACTCGTCCGACTCCGCGCCGCGCTCTCCGTCGAAGCCTTCGGCGCCGAGGATGAGTGCGCCGATGCCGCCGGTGAGGTCGTAGAGGTCGCGCTTGAGGATGTAGGTGTCCTCGCCGCTGTTCCCGCCGTAGCCTGCGCCTTCGAGGCCGAGGAGAAGGCTGACGACACCGCCGGTGAGGTCGTAGGTGTCCGGGGAACGAGCGTCAACGCTGGAACCCGAAGATCTGAAGGATATAATCAGTGGTGGCCCAGACTAGGTGATAGGAAGGGGTGCTAACCCAGTGGGAGCGGCACCGACGGCAATGCCGAGCGCCAGGCAGACAAAGACGTGAAGACGGGTAGCGGCGAACATTTTGTTAAGAATATGAAAAGAAGAGTGAAGAGTGTAGTAGAAGATTGAAGAGCTGATAGAAGTTGAATTGGTGAGGAATAGTCGTCCTGCGGGTCCCGTATTTATACGGACGAGGAAGCTCAGGGTGTTTCGGAAGGGAACGACTCGCGGCTCCTTTCTGCGCAGAGGATGAGCCTACGCGGTCTCGTTTCGGATATGTGGACGAGGGGCTTACCGAGACAGCAAGTCCCTCACTTGACCCATTTCCAGCCTATACGTGGCAAGTATTGCTAGTCGTGTAGCTGATGCCGGCGTCTATGAGAGTCGTCAGGCCTCGCTCAGTGTACACATATCCCTGATGGCTGCGCACCGTACTGCTCTCCTATATCTCATGGCCCACAAATGTCCCCGAGAGAGTAGCATCGTGGCGTATGCCTACTGGGAAGATGGGTTGAAGGGGGTGCGAGCAGTGCGCGCGGGCATTGTTGCTGGAGGTCATGGCGGTCGCGGAGAACCCGAGGCGCACTTGCCACAGACTCCGCAGCCGCGTCGACGCTTCCTCTTCTGCGGCCCCACTCGGCCTCTCGATCTCAACCACCACCACCCGCTTTATTAGGCTTTATCTGACGAGTCATGGCACGGGTTCACGATCCAAATGAAGGGTCTTCATCCGCGTCGATTCACCTCTGTCACGATGCGAGTTGCCCGGTACGGTCGCTGAGGATGGCGAGGCTATAATGCAAGATATATCCGTGCGCGCGTGTCTTTGAAAGCAGTGGTTATCGTCTCTGATGTACTCTCTAGTACCATACAGCGTCGGGCCTATCTCCCGCCAATCAAACGGAGCACTTTAACCTCTCGCAAGCCGTTTCTCCTGATTCTGGCACCCTGGATCCGGGTCTACGCCTAGAGCCCTGTCAAGGCCGAGCATGTTCTGTCCAGGTCCATCCGCTCGGGCGAAACTGCGACATCGCACGCGGCCGAACGCTGTCTTTTCTTGACATCTCGCAGAACCATTCCTCTTTCGCCGTCATATGAAGTCCGAAGTCGGGGGCAGACAGTGCGTTCATATCCACTCTCGCCGGCCTGCGTTCGACTATACTGATGCGCTCTAAAGCTTTCCTAGAGCCACTCGGTCTGTCCCGAGTCGGCGCAGCCTGAACAAGCGATGCATTTGCATGCCGAATGCGTCCAGCGTCGAACAGTCCCCCGGGGTGCTGCATCACTATAAAGAGGGCGCGCTCTGCCACAACGTCCACAGCATACAACCTCTGGAGTCCGCGTTTACCCGATCTGCTTGTCATGCCCACCTCCAAGCTCTTCGAACCCCTCCAGCTCGGCCCGCTCAAGCTCCAGCAGCGAATCGCGCTCGCGCCTCTGACGCGCTACCGCGCGAACGACAGGCACGAGCACACCGAGCTCGCGGTAGAGTATTACGGCCAGCGCGCCAGCACGCCCGGTACGCTCCTGTTCACGGAGGCGACCTTCATCTCGCCCCGTTCGGCCGGATACGCCCATGCCCCGGGCATCTGGAGCGATGCCCAAATCGCTGCGTGGAAGAAGGCGCGCGCGCTCGGTGGCGTCGACTCCCTTCGCGTCTGATCAGATATGACTATATAGGTTACAGACGCCGTACATGCCAAGCGCTCGTTCATCGTACTCCAGATCTGGGCGCTGGGCCGCGCTGCATCGCCCGATGTGCTCAAGGCCGACGGACAAGACTACGTCGGTGCAAGCGCGATCCCCATCACGGCCGATATGCCCGCGCCGCGCCGTCTCACGGCCGACGAGATCAAGGCGTACGTGCGCGAGTTCGCCACGGCCGCGGATAACGCCGTGAACAAGGCCGGCTTTGACGGTGTCGAGGTCAGCGTGTCGACCTGATCGCTTCTGGCGCCGGCTCATGTGGCTGCAGATACACGCCGCGAACGGATATCTGCTGGATCAGTTCATGCAGCGCGTGTCGAACGATCGCACGGATGAGTACGGTGGCAGTATCGAGAACCGCCTTCGGTTCGTGAAGGAGGTTGTTGAGGCCGTTACTGCGACTGTAGGCCAGGAGCGGACTGGTATCAGGTGCGCACTGAGCTTGTATATGTGAGCGTCGTCCAAGAACTGACTGGATTCCGTAGGTTCTCGCCATGGTCCAAGGCTCAATGTACGTTGAACTTGTCTCCTTGGTTACAAGCTCGTCTGACCGACTCGAGATCAGCCATGCGCATGACGGACCCCGTCCCGACATTCTCAGCAATGATCACCCACCTCCGCGACACCTACGCCAAGCTGCTCTACATCCACGTCATCGAACCGCGCATCAAAGGCGACAACACAGCCCACGAATCCGACTGGGCCGGACAGCGCGAGTCCAACGACTTCGCGCACGCGATCTGGGGAGATCGCCCGATTATCGTTGCTGGTGGGTACAATCGCGAGACGGCGTTGGAGGCGGCGGAGAAGGATAATGTGATCGTCGCTTTTGGGCGGGACTTCCTTGCGAACGTATGTACGGAGGTCTCCCTTTCTTCGACGATGATACTGATGAATGGTCTGCAGCCGGACTTCCCGACGCGCCTGAAGGACAACCTGAAGCTCAACGCGTACAACCGCGCCACTTTCTACACGCCGGGTCCTGTCGGCTACGTTGATTATCCCTCCTACTCCTCGACGTCGTAGAATTGGAGTCACACTGTGGCTAAAGCAGAGCTTAATGTAGACGGCGCATGTATCGTTGTTAAAACCTTTGGTTGCGTATACCCGGTGAACCTGAAACGTTGAATCTTCGCGGTCTCGTCTCGGAAATGTGAATGAGGGGTACACCGATACAGCGAGTCCTGCGCTTGAGCCTCTTGCGGCCTACGTGTGGTAGTGCTATTCTCGCAGCTGCTGTCGGCGTCCATGAAGGTTGTCAAGCCGAGTTCATCTCGCTCGTCAAATTCAAGATAGCTGCGCACTACACCGTTCTTCTACATCTCGTCACCCTTACCATTCGCTAAGGTAGTGGCATCCTGGCGTATGCTTACTCGGAAGCTGGGATGAGGGACAGTCATAGAGGTTGCGAAGAACCCACGGCTGCCCACGGCGCAATCATCGCTACAGGCCCGCCATCATACATAGACGAGACTGCGCGTCGCTCCCTTACTTGTGGCACTGTAATCAATCTAGGGTATACGAGCAAACTATCTTCACACTTGCGCTCCCCGGGGAAAGTACAGGATCGCGGCTGGGTGAGGCGGGCATCAAGTCCATGATCATTGGTGTATCAGTGCTCTGGCCATGTGGCACTGTACAAGGATCATCAAGCGGTGTGCGCTACTGCTACAGGAGTTAAACCGGAGTTAGACATGTTGGCCATGGGGTTGAATGGACGTTTGGAATAGGAGGTGCGTGTATGAGTGTCTGTGCTTGGAATCGTGTATGCATGTGTAATGAGACTCGCGGTGACTGGGACACTTGTCCTCTCGCTCGCGCATCAGAGCCTGCGCCGCGGGCTAGAGATAGCGACGTTCGCAGAGCGCGCCACACTACCACTCGGCCTCTCGATAATCACAACCCGCTTTATCTGACGAGTCATCGCACAGAGTTCACGATCTAAATGAGCTGTCTTCATCCGCGTCGCTTCGCCGCTGCCACGGAGCGAGGGACCCGGTACGGCCGCTGAGGATGGCGAGGCTATATTGCAAGATACATCTCTATCAGTATGCGATGTTCAAGAAAAATGGGCAGTAAAAACGTACATGTTTCGGTCATAACCCCCTTCGTCTTCAACGACAGATGCAACTTCCCGAGCGCCACATTCAACAAGAACGCGTACTGCTCCAGTCTGCTGACGGGGACGAACCCATACTGACACTTCGCGGGTCCATGCTGCGTGCAGAATATATCAACGGGCTCGCTCTCCGGGTCGAACACGAACAAATGGATATTCGCGAGCGCTCTGTGAGGAGTCGGTTTCTTTGAAGATTCAATGAGGTGTGCAAGGCCCGTGATTGTCGGCAAGTGATATGCAGGCTCTGTCGTCGGGGTCTTCCCACACTTCTTGCACGCGAGGCAGGCGGGGTGCCAGCGCTGGTCCGTGCCCAAGCGCACACAGTCCTCTTCGATTGTCAGGCCGCATCCTGCGCAAAGATCGCTCGGCGGGTCGGTGACCGATACTTTCGCCAGTTCCGGGTCCAGCGGCGTGAGGCTGAACGGACTCTCGCTAGCATTCTCCAGCGCCAAACTCCGGAATCCGTACGCGGCACCTGCAGTCCCTGCGCCCGAGACTGTCTTTTGGTGTGTAGGCTGAAGCGGGGGTTCGTCGGTATCCGGTTTCCCGTCATACGAAATCCGTCGTGCACCGGGATCGCCCCTCCAGGTCGGCACTGCAAGTGAATGTAGTTTATCGAGGAACGAGGACACCGCCTCTAGTCGCCCATGTTCACGCTCGAGCTTGAGCGCACCGGTGAGCCCAATACAGATGAGAATCTTGATCTGGAGCGCGATGTCCGCCACCAGCGCCTGCGCCGTCTGTCCCAGGCCAATCCTCCGCTCGCCGCTCTCTTGCATGCGACTCAGGAGCGTGAAGAGTTCGCCAGTCTTGCGATAGAGCTGCTGCGCCTCGCGCACATGCGCCGGCATCTCAAGGTCCAGGCGCATAAACGCGAGATCGAGGTCGTTGATCGTTGCGAGGAGCACTTCGACGTGGAGAATGAACTGCGAGGCGGCTCGGATCGCTTCGGGGTACTGCCCTTCAGAGGCCCGGCGGAGCAAGTCGTCGATGGCCTGCGCTGCGGATTCTTCGAAGGTAGAGAGCACGCTGCGAGCCAGGAAGTCAGCCACATTCTCACTCCCACGACAATGGTTTTGCTCACGTCCAGATCCGTTCTACCAGCTCCTTTATCCGAGCCTGCTTCTCTTTCAGACTGACGGCCGTCTCGCGTGCCTCTTCCTCAGCCCACGGCTCAACCGGGCCACCGTCGACGGGTGAAGGCTCAAGGCTCTGTGGCCGACTGCCCGCTATCCTGACGCTCCAGAACTGCACGATTCAATCAGTTCGAAGACGCCAGCCAACTTCAACCAGTGTCCCGTACCTTGTTGATCATGTAACACTCAGGGTGCCAGCACTCGTCGCGGTGATCCCGCTCAACCTCGACGAACTGCTCAAGAATGGCAGTATCACATCCAGCACACTTGGTCGCGCATCGAGTGCTAAAGTGAAAGTGACAGTATACGTCGCCCTCGTGCTCGTAGTAGCTGTCCTCCGGCGCGAATACGGTCGGACAGACACTGCATGTGAAGTGCTCGATGTGGTACTTCTTGCCGCAGGCGCTGACGTAGGACCCGCTGAGAGGAGAGTCGCATGATGCGCAGAGGAGGTCGAGACGGCGGAAGTAGTCGCGTTCGCAGACCGGCTGTTGCCCGTCGGGGGTGTCGATGGGGAAGAACTTCTGAAGCAGGCTGTCGCCGCAGTCCACGCACTGGAAGCAATCCTTGTGAAACACGGTGCCAAGTGCGCGCACGAACGAGCCCGTCATCAATTGTCCGCATGCAGAACAACAGCTGTAAACATGGCATCAGTACTGATGGTGCGTGGGAATTGAACTGGGCGCTCACGTTGAAGGAGTATTCTCCGCCATCGGCGAATGCTTAGACGGGCGCGGGGCTGGCGGCGACGACTGCTCTGAAGACGTCGATGTAGAGTCGAGCGCGACGCCAGGAGCTATGCAAGGAACCTCATCCGTAGTGCCGTCGATATCGTGCACATACCCACACTCAGCACAGGCGGGATAAGAATCGTCATCGACGGAAGTGCTAGTAAACATCCCTGCACGGTCTCCGTCAGTAAAGCTACGAAGGGCTATGTTGAATGCACGTCTTACCGGTGCTGCCATGTAATACCACGTCGGGCACGTCCGCAGACGATCCTACCGTGGGTAGAAGATCTAGATCATCGTCGTGCGCGACAGCGATGCTCGCGTCCGAGTGCTACACAGAAGAATGAGCACATCGTATTCCTCGTCATCAGAACGGAGAGACGTACTTCAAGTATATAGTCTAACGCGGGTTCAAGACAATCCGTGAACTGGATATGACATTAGCGTCTCTTCTGCAAAGCTCGTCGCATAAGCTCACCTGTGCTCTTCCGGGGACATTATCAATGCCGAGTCCACCTGCTCCGTCGTCTGAGTCCTCCCCACCCTCGCAATAATCGTCGTCCTTCTCTCCTTGAGCAGCGATCTTCATCCCAAGCCACCTCCGGCGTTTAACGCGAACATGTCGGACAAAGAGCGACTGATTGCTCGTGACGTTCATAGGCTGCATCTCCGCCTCGCCCTCATCCCCGTCCGTAATCCGACCAACATGCTTCGCCGGCGCCGGGCCCGAATTGACCAGAGCGCCAACGGTGCTCTGCCAGGAGTATCGACACGCCAGCTTCACGCCCGCGCCGACATTCGCGAACTGAACCTCCAGTCCAAACCCCGCCTCAAGCCTACTCCCGCTGAACATGGCATTGGCCCACGAAGTCGTGCGATCGACGCCCGTGACGAGCATAAGATCTTCAAGCTCGATATCGTGTCCTTCCGCCACCGCGAACTCGTGCCAGCTTTCCATGTTATCTCGCGCGTGCTCTTTGTAGCTGAGGATGTGGAGGGCATTATAGCAGTCGATGGGATCGGGCGTCGCGAGGATCGCTCCGCGGTCTTTGGACGTTGAGAATTCAGCGAAGCCGCCGAAGAATGGTCTAGGGATGATGGGGTCAATGTGAGCTTTCGTCAAAGGGTAGGGCATGTGAGAGAAGGCGTACCCTGAAAGTGACGGAGTCAAAGACTTGGTGGCGACACTATTGGACGCAAAGACGGGCGTTGTATCCTTGGTGAACATGATCCTGTACTTCCGCAACGGCTCGAAGTCGGTGCCACCCGGAAGTCCTTCGCAATCGGGTTGACCTTGAACACCGGGATCGAGGTGTACGTTGAATAGACGGACGAAGTATCCCAGAGCAGGCCTGGATTTGGTATTAGAGGGGACTATTACCACAGTGGAGAGGTGCACGCACTGAATATAACCAACGTCGCCAACCTCAACCGGGCGCAATTCCTCACCACCTCCATAATCCACCGGCTGGGGATTAGCGATCGGATGTCCCCTCCTAAACGCATCGGACAGCTCTTTCGAGTAGACGCTATGCAGCGCCATATCCAGTTCGAGGGAGAACGAACCTACATCATCCCTTTTTAGCTGTCTATATAATGCCACGGGAAGAAGCGTCCTCACCGTATTGCTATGCACCACCAGGTCCAACATGACTTCTATATGCGGCTTCTAGCCCATCTCGAGCGCTTTCCGCTGCTCTTCCGTCTGCGGTCGGAGTACAAAGGAAAGCAGTCGTATCGCCACCAGATGCAAGGACTCAGGTGATGGGGCACTGACACTGCCTCCGAGCAACAGCAAGTACGTCACAATCGTGAAGATACGGTCTTGAGCGCATCGATAGCCAGACTTGGCAGAGGAGGCCTTTTTATTTCACTCGACATGATGCGACGAGGATAGAACGTTGGGCTTTGCCATGGGCGTGATGGTAGTTGAAGGCAAGCTGTGTACGACGCAGGACCGTCCGGGGCAGCTACGTAGCTCGGTGGATTTTGACCGGGGTTTGTCCCACGCGGGCTCCATGACAGCTCATGTACAAGTACGCAAGAGAGCGTAGTAATTATGCAAAATGCTCAAGGCGAGCACTATCTCCGCCGGTGCGTGAAGACAAACCATGAAAGTCGCTGCCAAACTCCGCGAGCGCGACGGGCGCGCAGTAGACTCGGACCGGAGACCCCGACGCCACTCCACCTCAGCAGGAGATGGCAGAGTACTCCTTCGTTTACCATTTTCGCACACCGCTTGCCATGAGATCACTCAAACGAAGAAGGGCAGGTTCAGCGATAGATGCATATCGATACAATGGTTGATACAAATACAGATGTTATCGTGTGGTACAAATCATGAAAAGTACTCAAAGCCCAAGACCAACACCCGAAGCCAACCCAACACCGCCACCAACACTGGGCAGAGCACCCGTGCTCAAGCCATCGGCAGCACCAGCAGCCGCGGACCCGCCATGGCCACCAAGAAGCGAGGCAGCATCCCCAAGCTGGCGCTTCAGAATGTAGGTATCCTCGTCGGCGTCCCCACCGTAGCCCTCACCCTCGGCGCCGAAGATCAACGCGCCAAGTCCACCTGTGAGATCATAGAGGTCCGGAGACCGCGCCTCAACCTCAGACTCATCGCGCTTAAGGATGTACGTGTCCTCGTCGCCGTTCGCACCGTCGTAACCCTCGCCTTCGGCACCAAAGATCAACGCGCCAATTCCACCAGTGAGATCGTAGAGGTCCGGAGAACGCGCCTCGACCGCGGACTCGTCGCGCTTGAGAATGTACGTATCCTCGTCCTCATCGCCACCGTAGCCTTCGCCGCCGCCAAAGAGGAGGGCGCCGATGCCGCCGGTAGTGTCATACAGATCGCGCTGGGAGACGCTGGCGCCAAGGCCAAGGCCAGCTTCGGCGAGCGGAACAGCGTGTTGGATGCCCATGTTCGAACCCAGGAGGGAGCCGACGCCGGCGGTGGCGGGAAGCTGGCGCTTGAGGATGTACGTGTCTTCGTCGCCTTCACCGGCATACCCCTCAGGATAGCCGAACAAGAGCGCGCCGATGCCGCCCGTCAGGTCGTAGGTGTCGCGCTTGCCGACGATGCCCTCGGGGACGATGTTCCCGGAGGAAGCACCGGGGCGAACGGCTTGCTGGATGCCCAAGTTGGTGAGCAGACCGCCTCCAATATTGAGATCGGCGACCTGAGCGAGCTGGCGCTTAAGAATGTACTCGTCTGAATCCGCGCCGCCCTCTCCCTCAAAGCCATCAGCACCGAGAATGAGTGCGCCGATACCGCCTGTGAGGTCGTATATATCACGCTTCGGGATGGTTGCGCCGGTGGTGAGGCCAGCGCCGGCGGCGAGGGCTGCGGCATGCTGGACGCCCATGTTCGCGCCGAGTCTAGAGATAGTGTCAAGGCCAGCCTGCTGGCGCTTGAGGATGTAGGTGTCTTCGTCGCTGTTTCCGCTGTAGCCTTCGCCTTCAACGCCAAGGAGAAGGCTGACGAGACCACCGCTGAGGTCGTAGGTGTCCGGAGAACGAGCATCGATGTTGGATCCCGGAGCACTGCTATGATAATCAGCCGCGGTCGGAATGCGATGGCAAGAGGAAAGCGTACCCAGCGGGAGCAGCGCTGACGGAGATACCGAGCGCGATGCAAACAAAGACGTGGAGACGAGTAGCGGAGAACATGTTTGAGATAAAGTTGAAGAATAGAAGTTGGTAAAAGTGAAATGTAGATGGGTTGATAGAAGTTGAATTGGTGAGGGATAGTCGTCTTGAGAGTCTGGCATTTATAGACAGGTAAGAAGTGTTTCGGAAACGCTAACGTCTCCTGTTGAGAAGAAGTTGAGCATACGCGGGTTCGGAAGAGATAGGGGGTGCGAGCGTACCGAGACACGGATCCCGCCTTTGCCTCTCCTAACCTCCTCCAGCTCGCACACGGCGTCACTAAAGCTTCACAGCGGAGTGCTCCCAGATGATGTAACGCAATCGGCTCGTTGGGTTGTGTCGGGTTTATCGAGAGTGCTTGCAAGTCCACAGCTGACGGCTACCTGCCGGGTAGACCATCTCATGTGACCGCGTGCTAAGCTCCTGCGCAACTTTTCCAAGACAGTCTCGGCATACGTTGCGCCAGGAGTGGTTCGTCCGCGCAGAGAACAGAGGAAGCGCAGAGACGTAGAAGCGGGGACTGGGAGGCCATGATGGCTGTAGACAAACACATCGAGTGCGTGTCGTCCAAAGGACGCGCGCTCGATCGCGCTGAGGTGCTTTCCAAAATTGAACCACCACGACAATTCCACCAGCCGAACCTGCTTCATAGCATCTGCGCATATATTTCCAACTTCCACGCAGACACTGCTATCGCTGTGAGCTGGGTGGGGACGTAGGAGGCGGGAAGGGCTCCGGTATGACAGGTGACGGCCCGCGCGCTCTTTCTACGCACTGGACGCTGACAAGCATAACGCGCTTCCCAGGAATGGGGGCTGTACTAGGAGAGCAGACGATGGCATACGCTGGGATGGACCGCCGTGTAGTAACAAATATGCCTTCCACCTATTGCAAATAAATCTGTCGTTCGATCTCGCGTCTATGGCCAGCTTCAAACCCTCGCGACCAAGAACCTCAACGAGCCCCTCCAATCCCCTTCCTCGACGCACAACCTATGCAGCTCTTCATCTAATAGTGCGCCACTCGTTGTGCACCCGTCGATAGTCTGATAAAACGCGTACCGCGTGCGCTCGCTCCAGATCTGTAGCTGCCACTTGTTCAGCCGGTTGTGCTGTGGCCCAATGCACTTGCCTTTTGCGAAGGTCTAAATATGCCGGAATGGCGAAGCCGAGCATAAACTTCTCCGTCGGTCGGTCCAGCCGACCTCACACTAGCACCGTATCCTATAGAGATTGCAGCCGAGACCCGTCTGTCTGACCCATCACTGTGTTTGATTATATGACCCCTTGAGCTGGTGACCCTTTGAGCTGGAGAACTACACCCATGTCAGCAAACCGAATTTTCTTGCTCGGCGGCACGTACTGGGTTGCCAACAACCTATGGACACATGGACGAGCCCGATGATGTTTAGATGGTCTGCGGATATAAAGCCTCGACCGACGCGCCATACAGCATGCTCTGGATCTATTGGCCAACTTCCAGCTTCCTGCATGAAGAATTGGTGGACGTGCGATAGAGGGTTGACAACGACCATATACCTCTATGAATCGGCGCACGAATGAAGCGATGCGCTCGACCAACTTGGACATTGTGATGGGAGTCCTATTGGAATCCCTCAGCTCAACCTGCTTTCGATACGCCTGTGCATAACCGGGCCACTGTGACATCGTCCTCCAGGGTCAGTGAAAAATTCAACCAGAAGGTCGCGCGGAACACTGACCCCTAGACAGAAGTGAGCGGTGACCATATTGCCCAGAGGAGCGGGAGCGCTAGCACGCAAGATGACGAGTGGTGTTCCAGGATGATTGGCATAGACACGGGCCAAGTCGACACCCAATATGAAGTCCGTCGAGAAGAAGAAGATCGGGTCGTTGAGAGCTGCGTCACGAAAGTGGCGGTGCACATCCCCGGCCTGTTGAGGCTGCCACATCGTCTGCGGTACCACGATGCCTTTCTGATCGACACGATAGTCTAAGGCAACATCGAGTCGCGTGCCTGAACGATAGCTTCCGTCCTGCATGCGCTGTATACCGCTCGGAATGTGAGAAGAATCTCGACTTCCCATGTACTTGCTGTATAGCATGATCGTCTTCTCCAACCCGAATGACAGGGGAATGTAACCATCGAGTGTATCATCTGACAAGGGTAGATTAGCCTGAGCATCTCACTTCGGACAAGTCGGTTACTTACTTTGCAGTACGAAGTCCACGAACTTCTCGATGACACGAATGCGCACAAAGTGTTGTACATCGTCAGCCAGGTCCTCGTCTTCTTCCTGTTCGATCGATGTCCCATCTACGTTTTGGCGAGGAAGAGGAGATCTCGGAGTAGAACGCTTTCTCTGAGATAATGTGCTAGACGTCGAGGCTTATTAACGAGTGCTCGAAGATGCTTTGATGTGCCTACCTTCTCGATGATAACGGCGGTCCGTTAATCCCAGACTGATTATTCAAGGAACCTGACTCTCTGGTCGCCATGAACGATCGGGAGCAGCCCATGCTGAACGAGCGTTGTCAGTGTCTCATCCATAAGCACGTTCAAATGGGATGTCCAGTACCATGAATACAAAGAGCTCGACACGTCTTCCAAAGCCTCCGTATGACACCACGGGCAGAGAACGGGGGCAGACCGGTCTGACCCCGCGCGATGGAGTAGGATGCCCATCTCGATCCGAACGCCAGGAGCAATGTACTGGGACCAGGTACGAGATGTGAGGGCCTGATGGTTGTCAGATCCGTAAAGCTCGTAAGCGCCTTTCTGGATAAGATCCTGGCCGGGGAGCCCTTGGGTCGTGAAGTAGCTGTCAATGAACCCGTTGAAGTGCTGTGCCCAGGCTTAGCGTGTGATGTGAAGCCGCATTGTGTTGTGAAGCACACACCTCCAAGGAGTTACACAGTTGAAGATCGACGAATATCTTCTTTCCGAGAACGTCTACCAAGATGATCACGCTATCCCTGGCTGTCGCTACTGTGGGAGGAAGAGAGGACTGTAGGCGAAGTACGTGGACCAATAAGGCGCAGATGGTCGTCCATAGCGCCGTCGTACGCCACTTCGGATCGATATTGGATTGAGCTACGACTGCGGCGCCGAATGCTGCTAAAGGAACCAAGGAGGATACGAACTGCTGAAAGCGCCAGTGTTCCAGTTCGTTGGTCGAGGGGAAGATACTAAGGCGATCAAGAAGAGCGTCGCTAGTCCGTTCCACAATCGCCATGTCTTGGGAAGAGGTTGCAGCCAAGAGCTTCTGAGACATAGTCACCATGTCACGACGCAGCGCCGAGGCATCCTCGCGATTTCGCGTGTGAGACTGCTGGATAGCGTCCCTGTAGTACGATATGTTAGTGGACCGTAAAAGGGACGTCACAGGCTGTCGCCCTACATTATCATGCGACTACTTTCGTTTATAGAAGTTTGTGACCGAGCGACCGATCGGCTATTATAGGTGTCAAGACTCGTTACAGACACTGAGGTAGTGATACCGACCGCATCTCTTCCCGCGTGAACGAGTGCTCGTGCTCTGCTACCGTAGACAGCCCATGAAGCTCCCCAGAGAGCTCAGTCACACCCTGTTCGATCGATCGACTGCATCGTGGTTTTATCATATCGTTCCCATATAGTACAAGTTCACACTCACCAGTTAAAGGTCCCAATGAGAATTGTTAGACGCAAATATACGTCATGGAAGCGAAGGGCGAGTGCATCGGCATCAGGGGCCTTCAGAAAGCGCCACTGCAACTTACTAGCCGCCAGACGTGCACGACTAGGGAGCGATCCGCCAACTGTCATGTTCATCAACCTCTCGGAGTCCGGCAAGAGCTTTGCTGCCCTGGCCAGTTCTTCGTAGCAGAGGCGAACCTCCCCCAACGTGGCGTCCTGAAGGGCATCGTCCAAAGAAGCTTCTGCGATACGATGCACGTCCGCTATAACGGCACCCAGGAGCCTCAACTCGTGGGCGAAGCGCTGGCAATGAGCAGCAGAACCACGCGCATCATCGAGCGCGAGCGCGATGTCGCGAAGGAGTTGTGCTAAGGCAAGAATGTCGCCGATGGCGTTGAATGTTATGGGAAACATGCCGATGAGCGAGTAGACAGCGTTGATAGCGTATCGGCGATCCTGGTGTGTGTATGCGTGCGCTTTGAATGGCGGTTGATTACGCGCGCAACGGTCTTCAATGCAGTGGCGTCAGCGACAGCAAAGGACTGGGGGATGTCAGGGTACAAGTGACCCCACTTCGCTATCATCCGGAGCACATAGTTGAGTAAACAAGGTTTGTCGCGGCTCCGCCGCGGGGAAGTTCATCGGTGGATGGTTAAATTGCATAGTATGTAACCTACAACAGGATCTCTGGCGTAGATTGCGTTCGACATGGCGAGAAAGACAGAGGACGACAGTTGAGACAGAGGGGCGGGGCGCGATATAAGAAGAGCAGGCGAGAGGTGTTGAATTAAGTGGCGTGGATACTAGACCATAAACAGTTAGATAGTCAGGTGTCCTTTAGGCAAAGCGATAGCTCGTAACGAAAGGTACATCAACAATAGAAAATCGCGCTCATGGAGGGAATACAGGCATCAGCAGACAGGAAGACCAAAAGGACGAGTGACGGGCGGCATGAACGGAGATCACGCGCGGGAAGGACTCAAATTTAAGCGCGCACGAGGGGCCCGATTATCATGTGGCAACGAAGCAGGAGTGCGAAATTGGTGAGGAGTAAAAGGGGACAGATGGTGGCTGGAAGAACGAAGGAGGTTGTGATACGCAGCGGTGTGAAGACCGCGGGAAGGCGACGAATGCAGCACGAGCGCAGTTGTTGTACACGGTGAAACCAAACGACGAGAGGTTGATCTGGAAAACGATGGATTCAGACCGATGCATACGAATGGAGTACAAAGGACATACATGGGCAATGAAGTGTGGCGTATATGAGTGGCGAGGCCATCAAGCACGCACAGAATGCCGAGCGGGGCCTGAGCGGGGAGTCGGTGTAGAAGCAGAAGAGTGACTACATTGTAGTCAGCAAACAGTCGACATTGAAGACAAAGAGAGTTAGAGGACAGTACGCACGCGAAGGACTGGGAGGGTTGCCAGTGAAGGGAGGAGCCCTAGGAGATGCAGTACATGATGTACGAAGAGCAGGAGAAGCGGCGGAGTACGGGGCCGCAGTGAAGGAAAGGTTGACGGATTAAATGGGGAGGAGGGGATGAACAGCCCAGATGAGTAGGTGAAGGAGAGGGCATGGACGAGGACGGCGAGAAAGTGACGTGACCATGGAGGCAGGAGAGGCGAGAAGGGACCGTAAGCGACAGCGTGAGGAGCTAAGGCTAAACAGGAGAAAAGATACAGTACGAAAGCGGAAAGGAGGGACGAAGAGAATCGCATACGACCGGAAAGGGAGATGGAGGACATGGACGAGAAAGGAAAGAACGAACATGCGCGCCTAAAAAGGGTGAATTAAGTCCGTATATGGGCATAACAAATACAGACAAACAAAAGCCGGGGCTATCGATAATGTTCTTTTGATGGGTCAGGCGGCAAAAGGGCTGTGGTTCCAGCCAGTGCACGAGTAGGGCGCGCATAGGGTTTTTCTTGATGCCGAGATGACCGTGAGGAGCAACCTTAGAAGGTCGCACTTCCCCGATGAAAGCGGACCAGGACAGCGCCCTTGAAGCTTGAAGCTTGAAGGTTGCAGTGTTCTCAGGCGAGCGCTCATCGTCGCGCTCATCTCCAGGGGCAAGCATCGCATCGGCCGGTCGAGAATTGGATGTTTTGCCAGCACCGTAGCGAGACAGCATGTTCCTCGATGCCGCGTCGCGGAATGAATCGTTATGTGGGCTTTGTGTTGCATGAACATGGCGTCTACCGCTGTTTTCAGAATCCTTGGGACAGCGGCAGGTTTTTTCGACGAAGTGAGTTCTCGCCGAGAAAGGAAATGTTACCCGATTTGGGCGGACGACGCGAGCGAGCCTCGCCAAATTCGCGGCTGTTTATCGAGACACGTACGCGACTGCTGATCGAGATCTTCTACTCGACAGCTTCGAGGAAATGTACGCGGGGCTTAGCCACTGCGATGCAAATGCAACACGTACGTGCGCGCATTGTGATGCACGGCGTGAGTTGCACCGTTCAGCACGAATCGTGTGCTGATTGCCACACCTTGCAGCGCGCACTTGAGCGATACTCTCACCGTTGTATACAGTTCCACTCAAGATCATACGCTATCGTATCGTACGTGCTACGCGTGGTCGTGGTTGGCTAGGGGGCGTTGAGGAGGCTCGCCCAGTGGCTCGGCCGCGCGCGACGCGCCCACCCAAATCGGGTAACATTTTCTTTCTCGGCGAGAACTCACTTCGTCGAAAAAACCTGCCGCTGTCCCAAGGATTCTGAAAACAGCGGTAAGACGAAATCGCGAGGCGCGGTGGGCCGGCGCGTGAGAGCGCGGCTCGTCACAGGCAAACCTCCCAGACTCCCGCGCGCTCGCCGCGGAATTGCTTTCTACGCGTCCATGACAGTCTCCTCAGCTGAAAACTCCGGCTTCCCCTCAAACCCTTCTGGTTACCACAACTCATGACGCACGTCTGGCACACGCCTTGTCTCATTCTTGTGAAGCAAACCGGTGAAGAGTGCATGAAGACGCTACATGTCAAACTCGAACGCGCTCGGCCCCTGTCTTCACATGGGCCCCGGAGGCTACGGACACTGGGAAGGACATACGCGAGATGGGAGTGGCATGCTGAGTGTTAGAAGCGGGTAGGGCTTGGGGGTAGTTTGGGGAAGGACGCTCCTTGGACAGGCGACCGCGCTCGCCCGCCCTTTGTACGCCCTGGACGCCGATGAGGACAACGCGCTTCCCAGAAAAACCGGGCTCGCACAACGGATGTACTATGGGGCCCCACAATAGAATACGCTGGGATGTACCGTGATGTAGTGACAAATATGCAATCCACCTCATGCCGATATATTCACCATCCCGTCTCTTGCGCCAATATCCGACCTCAGGCCCTCAAGGCCTCGCAACCAAGAACCTCAACGAACCCCTCCGATCCCCTTCCTCGACGCACAACCGGCACAACTCCTCATCGGATAATGCGCCGCTCGTAGCCTGTCCGTCGACGGTCTGAAAAAACGCGTACTGGTTGCGCTCGTTCCAGATCTGGAGCTGCCGCTTGTTCAGACCATTGTGCTGTTCCGCGCACGGTCGAATCTACTTGCCTTTGCGAATACAGGCCCCTTGATGGACGGAGCGTCCGTGAAGCCGGTGATCTCGGCCGTACGGAAGAGCTCGGAGTCCGATGTGACCAGTATCACGATCTTGTTAATCGGAAATCGTCGCACGGGCGAGTGTTCAGGCGAGGACGGCGGCGTCAGTGGCGGCGAAGAGTCCGCCTCTGTCCTCTGCGTGAGCGGATTGAAGGCCATCTCAGGTCTCGAGTTGCCTCTCGTCTGAGGTAGGAGTGTGATATGGGGAATATAGGGACCGCTCTCCCGTCGATATCGAAGATGATCTTGGTGTTGAAGAAGTGCATTGAATACATGAGAACCCCGAGCGAACGTGTGTGCAAAAAATGTGATGAACGAAAGCCCATGCGGGCTAAGTACTTTACAGGTGAGCGCTCCGCGAAGCTCGGAGTCCTGATCCGTGCGAACCTTATGCGCTGTGCCCGAATCTCGTACTGAACCTCTACAGACCTCCCCACGATGCCCGGATACGCTGATGCTTCATCTGATGTCGTCAGGTTTGCTCTCTCGCCAAGCTCAAGACGTTCGTGTCAGCTGATCATTACTTTCAAGAGGGTCAGCGTTGAACATCATGCGCGGCAGTGGCGTTCAGGACATTCACAGAGGTGGTGAACGCGGACTATCACTGTTGTCAACATTCGGAGCCGGAGGTTCATTGGAAGTTATCATTCGGGGTATGGGAGTTCAGATCGTTCGTGGATCAGTAAGAAGTTTGTACAGGAGAACGACATCACTGAGACCTTGAGACAGTGCACACAGGTACGCCAATGCAAAGTGGGCGAGGATTGGTGGCACAGGCTCTCCTGAGCATCAGGCGTCGTCTAGGGAAGCGTGTTGAAATGGTCAAGCTGCAGAACTGACCATAACGTCAGGGCACGATGAAGCCAGCTTTGTAGGATGTCAGACGCACTAGGTTGCCAAACACCCCTCGAAACCTGCATGAGTCCTACGACGTATATGTTCTCTGCGGTGATGAACCCAGGACCTACGCGCCACGGCTCCTGCCCTCCCTGGATTGGCTGATCAGCCATCTCCTGTAGGTTATGTGAGTCACTCGCATTGTGGAGACCAGATATGAAGCAGTTGGACCTGAATAAAACGCTGCACAAAGTTGGCACTTCGCTCAACGAGCTTATACATCGTGATGGGTGAACCTGAAGCGTTTCTAAGCTCCACCTGTTTCTTGAACTCATCGTAACCAGGCCACTACATAATCATCAGTCAGCGTCTACTGTGATCACTAGAAAATCCGTAGGTTAGATGGCGACGAACCTTGAGGCATAAGTGAGTGTTAGCCCGCCCGCCGAGGGGTGCCGGTACGGTGGGATGGGTTATGCCTGGAGGGGCTCTGATGTTGGCATCCAGGACCTGTGACGCTTTGATGCCTATGCCATGATCTATTCCAATGAAGTAGATGGGTGGGACGAGTCCTGCATCGTCAGTATGTCGCTGTACGTCTCCCCGCTGCAGAGGCATCCAGACAGTCTGCGGTACAACAGCTCCCTTGTTGTCGGTCTTGTAACAGATGGGGCTATCGAACAACGGCGACTCCGTCTCGTCCGGGTTCGTGATCAAGCGACGGTAGCTATTGTCCATCGGATGGAAGTGGATGTTGATGGCGCGGCAGTCGTCGCTGCGAGTATAGATGTTGAATAGTCTCTCCGCCTGACCAGGGTCAAGAGATTTGGCGACGTAACCAGAAAAAGGGAAACCAACTTCAGAAGGCAACTCTATCATAGCTTCGTTGGCACGCAGCACCGAGTCAGCACCAAGTTGCAACTGATAAGATATTCCATGTGCTCACCAACCCTATTCTCGATGGTTGCATCGCAAACTTCCGGGGGAGTTCCCTGACGTAGAAGGTCCAGATCCTTGTGACGTGCGATAGCTATGTCAGCAGTGTCTGAGTGCTAGTGACTGGGCGGTAAGCCTCCGAGCGTGATTGGCCACTTGAAGTGCCTTTGTTCACCTGCAGAATATAATCAAGGACTGGTTCAAGGTGATCTGTAAACTGAAGATATCCATGGTTATGATGGTACCGGTATACGCGGGTTCGAACAAGGCACGTACATCTTCATGCTCTAGAGATGAAGTGATCTCCAAGGAATCATCGAGATTGACATCCTCGTTGGCCGTCATGTACTCGCTGTCTGCGTCGCTGCGCAGAGATGGACCATCCTCCAAAACCTCATCCGCCATGTCCTCATCAGTACCGTCACTCTCCGCGCGTGAGGTCAATCCTCTGCGCCTCCACGTCCACAGCAATAGATTCCACCGTCGTTTGCAGCGAAGATGTCTGACGAATATGGTTTGATTGAGTTCGGAGTTTACCGGTCTCCTCTCAACACTGTGGTCATCGGAGGGCTCCGGCTGTACACCAGGATGGATATCTCGGGCAGGAAATATAGATGATGCCCCCGCAAAATCCGATATAGTGGGGTTGGGGCCAAATTTGGTAAATGCTCTGGTTGAATTGCGCCAGGTGTACCGGCATGCTATCTCAGCGCCTGGGACAAACTGGACCTCTAAACCAAACCCAACCTTGAGTGCCGTATCGCTGAAAGCTGCGTTTGCCCAAGACGTAGTGCGATCGACGCCGGTGATCAACATGAGCTCCTCTAATTCGACTCTTCCGGGTGCCTTTGCAGCAAGAAAGCGCTCCCAGTTTCGGACTCGTGCTTCGAAGTACTCTTCGAAACGTCTATCGGAGAGGCTATCCGAAGACAGAATGAGGGGGTCGGGTGTAGCTAATATAGCACCGTGTTTGTTAGACGTTGAGAATTCAGCAAATCCTCCGAAGAACGGTCTGAAAGGTGATGTCAGCGTGCTATACATTCGACAAATACTCATATCGTACCCAGCTGGTACCGACGCATTCACTTCTGGGGCATTGATTGTGGTCGATATAAACAGATGCATCCCTCGAGTGCGACATTCGCGAACCCCACCCCTAGGCAGTGGCTCAAAATTATCAGGGAGTTGGTCTCGCGAGGGCTGTCCATCGATGCCAGGGTCGAGGTGGATGTTGAAGAGGGTGACGAAGTAACCGTGGACGGGGCTGATATTCTGTATCAGAGTCAGATTCAATGCAAACAGACTCGGAGGACCCACTTGACGTAACCGACGTCGCCTATCTCAACTGGCCGCGCGGACCCCTGTGAAGAATCAGGTTGAGGGTCAAAAAGCGGGTATCCTCGTCTGTAGGCAGCGGATAGCTCTTCTGCGTATCGTCTGGCTAGGGGCTTGGATCTGAACATGGAAATGCTGGAAGAAGAGAAGTATCGCAAACCTGTTCTGCTTTATGTGAGACCTGCGATGCTGTGATAGCTTCTCTGCAGAACCGAGGGAACAGCCACGGCGCAGGGGAACTTCGGCCACACCACCCGGTATGAAAGGTTTCACACCATTACGACCATAATGAACATCGATACAAGGGGCGTCTACTGTGCGCGCTTTAACCTAGGCACAAGGTGTACGGTCCAGATTATCGGCCATTTGAGTTCACTGCGAAACCGTCTGGCCCGTCATGCATATGGATGTTGGCGAATGCTAGGGTGATAGCCACAGAGCCGTGGTGGGAGTTGTGAGTTGAGCGAGTTCGTTCCGTCAGTGCCGCGTCGCGTTGCTGACGCGTCAGGCACGGGTTCTTCGTAACAGCGCCCCAATATGTGCCTTATACATGTACATGTGTAGAGTACTTAGGTGCAGGTTGATGCCCATTGAGCGATACCAGAAAAATAAACATGACTCCCCCTATCCTTCAAGTATAATTGCGTTCGAGTTCGGGCCCAGGTACTCCGAGTGTGAGCCTAGTGTTTTACATGCCCGGCGGCTCGGCTATTGCTGAACCAAAGTCTGGATACCTAGTTCGCATGTATAGGTATAGAGGCTAAGGCGTCAAGTGTCCTTGACAGGAGCTATATGTACATAGCACAAAACAATATGCACATTAGTTCGGCTGGATCAGAGCCAGCCATAGCGAGACCCAAACCCTTGCGAAACGCTCAAGACCGGCTCAGTCTGCGGTTCAGCAACGACCTGCTCAAGCTCGCGCGTATGCTGCTTCGCACGCGCCAACTCCTGCCTCAGCCCCTAATCTCCGCGTCCCGCTGATCATCGCGCGCCTTGTACGTCTCCAGCTCATCAAACGCGACAAGGGCGCGCTCGAGGCACTCCGAGTAGCGCACATTCGGGTCGGTAGGGAACAATCGACGACGAAGCTCTTCGAAGTAGTGCTTCTCGTTATCGCGGAACGTCTTGGCATACTGCTTCTTCTTCATGCGCAAGCTTTCGTAGTCGGCGGGAGAAGGTGGTCCATTGACGCCGTGGCGGTGCTTCAATCGTATGGGCTCTGAAGGCGAAGGATGGAGAGTGGTCGTATTCAGAGGGTCGACGGGAGAATTCCATGCTGACGTGGCATGCAGTATATGCTGTGGACTAGTTGTACACGATGAGTGCACCGTCAGATAGAGCCAAAGAACCCAGACTAACCCTATAACCGCCTGTCCACGCGAGGGCATCCCCTGCGACAACTTCTGCGCCAACATCGCCCCAGAGAGCGCTGCTTCCGTCGCATACTGAGTGTCCCTAGGGTGTACCAAAGGAGCAGAGTCGCCGTATTGAGCTTCAGATAGATCCTCGGTGATCGTGGGAACTTGTACTGACGCGAAGGGCGGCTCATACGGCGGATCCTGTGCCACTTCGGATGTCTTCTGTCGAACAGGATCGGCCAACGGGCCTCGCAGGGATCCTGTATGGGCGACGACGTCAGTAATGAGAAGTGTGAACAAAGGAGAAGAGCACCGACGTAGCTGGCTACCTGCCGAGTGGACCATCTCATGTGACCGCGCACCCAGCTCCTTCGCTGGGTTTCCGAGACAGTCTCGGCCTCGCCAGGACTGGCGTTCGTGTATCGTTGTGCACGCAGAGATCGGAAGAGGTGTGCAGACGTGGAAGCGGGGACTGAGATGCCATGATGGTTGTAGACAAACGACTTGAGCGCGCGTGGTCCCAAAGACTGTGCGCGCGAGGTCGCGCTGAGGTGCCTTTTCGGTCTGAACCACCACGACAATCCCACCAGCCGGGCTTGCTACATAGCATCTGCGCATATGTTTTCAACCTTCACACGGACACTGCTATTGCTGCGAGCTGGGTGGGGACGTTTGACGCGGGAAAGGCTTCAGTCTGAGATCTGACAGGTGACGACCCGCGCGCTCTTTCCGCGCGCTGGACGCTGACGAGGACGACGCACTTCCCAGGAAAACCGGGCTCACACAACGGCTGTACTACGGGAGTCAACGATGGGATATGACGAGACGGACTGTCATGTAGTGACACATATACATTCCACCTCTTGCAAATAAATTCGTCGTTCCATCTCTTATGAACGTAGCCAGCCTCAAACCCTCGCGACCAAGAACCTCAACGAACCCCTCCGATCCCCTTCCTCAACGCACAACCTATGCAACTCCGCATCGGATAGTGCTCCACTGGTAGCCTGCCCGTCGACAGTCCGATAAAACGCATACTGCGTTCGCTCGGTCCAGATCTGGAGCTGCCGCTTGTTCAGACGGTTGCGGCGTACGGAATACGGTCAGATACTTGCCTTTGCGAAGACAGGCTCCTTGATGGATGGGGCATTCGTAAAGCCGGTGATCTCGACGGTACGAAAGAGCTCAGAGTCCGACGTGATGAGTATCACGACCTTCTCGTTCGGAACTCGTCGCGCAGGCGAGTGCTCGGGCGACGATGGCGGGGTCACGGGTGGTGAAGGGCTCTCCCCCTTCATCTATGCGGAAGATATGCGATATGTGTGGTCCAGTGCGAATGCGTCTGCGAGTGCTTGAAGGACAGTGGGCGCACACAGAATAGGGATCTGTATGAGAACGACAACCCTCATGTATGAGTAAGTACGGCCGCCTGGAGAGCGCTCCGCGATGCACGGATGATTGATCATCTCCGACGGTGAGAACATCATACATATATCGCTGGGCTATTCAACCGACCATTCATTGACGACCCACGCCGTCAGACACAGGCCACCGCGATGCTCTGTATCAGATCCAGGACTTGAGGTATATCTGTCCACTCAGATCGACTCAAGATGCCCCGCTGACCGCCGTCGTAGCAAGTCGATACACAGCGCAAGAACAAGGGGAGCCATGTTCATGCATTTCATTCGCAAACGGATCTACACATACAAGTTTGACGACAATCTACTAACTCATCCGTGATGTGGATGAATTGCACTCGAAGCACACCGACGCACGGGAAACCTAGATGTAATGTACGCCTTTGAGCTGTATTACTACGCCAACGTCAACAGCTGAGGACATGCAAATAATAGGAGGAACATACTAGGTTGCCAGCAGCCGGCCGACACGTGAACCAGCCCAACTACGTACAAGCTCTCCTTAGTGATGAACCCTCGACCGACACGCCAGTGAGCGCTCCTGATATCAATGGGCCAGTTAGAGGCCTCCTGCATAACGGATGAGAGGTCATACAAAAAGAGAGCGGCCAGAACCCACCTCGATGAACCGCGAAACGAAACTACAGATGCGTTCCACCAGCTTTGACATCGTGATCGGCGCCCTATTGGCATCCTGGATTTCGACCTGTTTGCGGAAGTTCTGCGCATAGCCTGGCCACTAGATGTCACGATAACTCATTGTGAGCAACGGAGCGCCAAGGACTTAAGCAGCGCACAGACCTTGATACACAGGTGAGTTGTAGCCATGTTTCCCAGAGGCGCGGGCGCGTTCGCGTGAAAGATGTTCATCGTAGTTCCCGGGCGAACATTGGAAACATGCGCCAAGTCGACGCCTATCGTAAAGTCGAGGCTGATGAAGAAAACAGGGAAAAGTAATGTAGCATCTCGGAAGTGGCGATGTACATCTCCGGTCTGCAGAGGCTGCCACATGCTCTGGGACACGATAGTGCCCTTTAAGTCACGAGTGTAGTCTAGGACAACGTCGGTGCGTCCGCCAAAGCGGTATGTAGCGTCCTGGAATTTCTTTATCCCTCCAGGAGGACGACTAAAGTCCTTGATTCCCACAAACTTATTGAAGAGCTTGACAGCGTCTGCGGGCCCAAACGAGAGTGCGAGGTATCCCTCCCTCAAGTATTCGTTAGTATCGGCCAGCCCTGTTAGTTGTGTTTACCCATTAGATAGCTCGTTTACTCCTATGATGCTCGTAAGACAATACTTGCCGTCGCTCGTGTCACGGGGGGCATTGATTAGAGGTGCTAAACGCCTCTTCAGACTCACATTGCCTCTGATATCATTGATCTCTTTTCAGCGCACCTGATCTTCTCAGAGACAAGCCTCCATCAGCCTGGGCGGAGGAAGGCGCTTGACTCGCCGTCAATTCGGAAGCTGACGAGTCATGTCAGGCAATATGCGTGATGGTCTAGTCATGGAATTGCCGTGCCTATTGCCTTGGGGGAGGAAGGTTCGGACGTATTGACCTCCGTGTCAATATCACTGCCAAATGCTGTAGGACTCGCTACATATGTCATCTCAGCGTCTTCAGTTAGAGAGCTCGAAACCGCTCGTGTAAAGGTATTTGTGGTTAAGATCATTCCTCGAGATATCTTCAGCACAAAAAATTGGCGCGGAAGGTGACTAGTCGACTCACCGATCCCATTTTCAACGACACAGCGAAATATGTCGGTAAGGGTAGGGTCATCCTCCAAGGCCCGCAAATCTTTGTGACTTGCGATGGCCATGTCAGCTCCACTTCTCTGTGCCGGAACATTATGAGCCTGTGAGAGCAAGGAGCATGTCGACCATGCTCTCACCTTCAGGATATGGTCGAGAACTATATCCAGATGATCGGAGAACTACATTTTAGCAGATAAGCCACACCAAACGGTCCAGATCAGTGACATCGACCGGCACGCACTTCTTCATACTCAGGGGAAGAGACTATGTTAACTTCATGGGGCGCATCTGCGTCATCATTCGTCGTCATGTGGCCGTCGTCTTCGTTACTGCCGTTTGTTCTTGCACTCCGTAACACGACCGGATCTCCGTCAGAGACTGCAGCGGTTTCTTCGACGTCCATGGGTTGCGTTGCTGCCTCTTTTCTCCTCGGTAATTTATCCCACAGGTTACTTTTGCCACGGTTGTATCGGATGAATATGGTCTGGTCGAGCGTCGAATTCAGAGGATGCCGCTCGGTCTCTCGCTGACCAGCGATGCTCAAGCGTGAGTCGGCCCGGATATCGTGGGCAGGGAACATAGCCGAAGCCCCCGAAAAGTTAGAGGTCGTGGAATTGGGACCAAATTTAGTGATCGCCCCCACCGAGTTGCGCCAGGCATATCGACAAGCTACTTCGGCACTTGCGGCGAACTGGACTTCCAGACCGAACCCTACTTTGAGTGATGCGTCACTCCAAACGGCATTGGCCCAAGACGTGGTGCGATCGACACCGGTAATGAGAAGCAAGGCACCTATTGTAACTCTGCTGCGCACTTTCTGAGCGAGGTATTGTGTCAAATCCCGTATGTTGGTCTTGAGATAGTCGTCATAGTCCTTATCGTTGATGGCATCCATAGAGAGTATGAGCGGATCCGGTGTCGCCAGAATGGCGCCGTGCTTGCTGGTAGCCGTGAACTGGGCGAATCCTCCGAAGAACGGTCTGAAAATCGATTCAACAAGGTCGCACAGGCACCTTTATGTATCCAGGTCAATCTCACCCTGCTGGCACCTGCACGTTAACTTCCGGGGCGCTCACTGTTTCGGAAGCGAAAAGGTGCATCCCATGCTTCGGAGTGCTTCTTACTTCGCCTTTGGGAACCGCTTGAAAGTGATCAGGAAGCTGATCGCGCGAGGGCTGTCCATCGGAACCAGGCTCGAGGTGTATGTTGAATAGGCGCACAAAGTACCCTTGTACAGGTCTGAACAGTATTTTAGTTTCAATCTCATCGTCGATTGTGTGTGCCACGATACCAACTTGATGTATCCCACATCGCCTATCTCAACTGGACGAGGGGGCTGCCTCGTAGAATCAGGTTGGGGGTCAAATAACGCATATCCTTGCCGGTAGGCTTTGAGCTCTTCGGAGTATTTCTGATAGGGTCCTCTGGTAGTGAAGTCGATCATGACGAGGGTGCGAGAGGCGCCGCTTGCGATGCTCAATCCTCACCCCAGCCAGCATTTAAGCCATAAGGGATGCCTTCACCGCCGCTCGAGGAGCAAGACTGAATAGCCTCGATATCGCTGCTATGCTGCTTCGGTAATCTAACATGTGAGTTATTAGACGTGGGCAGCACATGCTGTGCATCTTCGGTCTAAACTAACTTAAAGTCATCTGGATCCTGACCCCGTGTTAAGTTCGATGACGTGGTCAATTCGGACCATTCCGCAGCCACGAACCTTGTGCGGCAGAGTAAGTATGAGGGTATTGGTACATGATCCACCCCCGGAGGCTGTTGAAGTCGGGCAAGGGAAGCATAAAGGTGGTAGACCATCTGTACATGAGGTCGCTAACGAGGTCGCCAATCCTGATAACGCCCATACCAGCTTGCAGTCGGGAGTCCACGTCCTCCGAATTGCTCTCCTATCATCGCTTCATAGCCTAGCAGTGCATCTGGTGGTTCCGAGAAGCCGCGCTATTCTCTCAGGCAGATTGCGAACCGAGTACGGGTGGTCACCTGGTTGCAATGTGGGGGAACACGCGTCTTCATGGTTGAACTTGACACTTGCATTCCATAGCGGGCAACAAGAGAAGGAGATTAAAGAGGGTCGATGCGTAGTATTAGATTGATCAACTGCGATAACGCTGAGGGTAGGGGATAATGCGGATGACCGTGATGGTGGAAGTTCGCAAACAAGGCTCAAGCGCTCACTTGCGACATTTCCCGCCCTCGTCCGCGGCCGCAGTACATTTCCCGCGCTCCGAGGCGCTTCAACACAACGAACAGCATCTCTTTCAGCCTCACCAGTCACCGCCCGATTGTATTTCCTCATGGAGGGACATATGGGATCTTTCGCCCAGATCATCACGGGTATAATAGTTCACCGTATTGAAGGTATATAGGAACCCGGCACATGTCGCTATGCTACTGGACTGGATTGCAGCCAAAGGGAGAAGAGTTGACGTTCATTCGCTACACGGTTATAACCAGTCGTAACGAGAGCTGAACGCCTGCGACGTGTCCAACTCCAGCCCAGTCTGCGGCTGAGCAATAACCTGCTCAAGCTCGCGCGTATGCTGCTTCGCACGCGCCAACTCCTGCCTCAACCCCTCAATTGCCGCATCCCGCTGATCTCCGCGCGCCCTGTACGCCTCCAGCTCGTCCAAAGCGGCAACGGCGCGCTCCAGACACTCAGCGCGGCGCACATTTGGGTCGGTGGGGAACAATCGGCGGCGAAGCTCTTCGAAGTAATGCTTCTCGTTATCACGGAACGTCTTGGCGTAGTGCTTCTTCTTCATACGCAAGCTCTCATAGTCGGCGGGACAAGTTGGTCCATTGGCGCCGTGGCGGTGCTTCGATCGTATGGGCGATGTGTCTGACGCACTCGCTGTCGGACTGGTTGGAGATGAAGGCAGTGGCAGTGTGAGAGAGAGCATGACGTTGCGGCTGTTCGAGGGTGAATTCAGGCTGTAGATGTTCGGCACCCGCGATCGATCATACGCTCGGGATGGTCAGGAAACCCGGAGAGCGTCGGTACTCATTCGACGTGGACGAGGAAGAGCGTGAATTCCGAAGGCGAAGGATGGAGAGTGGTTGTATTCAGAGGGTCCTCGGGAAAGCCCCATGCTGACGTGGCATGTAGTCTGTGCTGTGGACTAGTTGTACACGATGAGTACACGGTCAGATAAAGCCAAAGAGCCAAGACTAACCTTATATCCGCCTCTTCACGTGAGGGCATCCCCTGCGACAGTTGCTGCGCCAACATTGCCCCAGTGAGCGCTAACTCCGTCGCATATCGAGCGTCGCAGGGATGTATCAGAGGAGGAAAGTCGCCGTATTGAGCTTCGGATAGATCCTCGGTGATCGTGGGAGCCGGTACCGACAAGAAGGGCCCCTCGTACAGCGGATCCTGCGCCGCTTCGGATGTCTTATGCCCGACAGGATCGGCCAACGGACCTTGCAATGGTCCTGTATGGGCGGAGGACGTCAGCAATGAGAAATTTAAATAGGAGGGGAAGAGCGCCTGCGTACCGAACCCATCATTGATGTGAACGACAGGGCCATCTCTGTCGGGCTCCGGTAATAGGTGAAGGTCTTCGTCATGCGCAATGGCAATGTCCACATTCAAATGCTGTACCATCAAACATGGAATGAGTAACGCACCCCTGGGGAGATGCCTGAGGCATACTTACTTCAGGTATATAGTCAAGTGCAGGGTCAAGGCAATCCTTGTACTGAGTGAATCAATAAGCCTGAGGTGTCCTATATTGATTCACACCAAAGGACATACCTCTTGGCGCTCAGGATAGCCAGACGTCACGATAGGGCTTGACAGCGCTACACTGCCTCCCGTTTCTATTCCATCATAACGTCTGTCCAGATCTTCCGCTTGACCGCCCGCCATGGTCTCCAGCACAAGCCAGAGCCTCGCTCCGCACGAACATGACGGATAAGCGATATTTGATCGCAGACCGTGTTCAGCGGTCCCAGTCTTGTACCAGTATGAACACTTTGGTCTATCTCCGGGAGCGATGATGACGGGTGGAGGCCGGTAGGGCCCGAATTAACAAGCGCGCCCTGCGTGTTCTTCCAGGGGTGCTGCGCCGCAAGCCGAGTCGAACTCCCAGTCGAGGTGTGAATTGGTGAAGACGGCCGTGGCCCAGGAAGTCGTACGGTCTACTCCAGTCACTAGAATGATGTCCTCCAGCGCGAGATCGACGCCGAGCTTGTGCACCGCGAACTTGTGCCAGGTCTCGATATGCGCTTTAGCGTAGTTTCTGTGATTCAGAATGTGTTGGGCGTCATGACATTGAATTGCAAATGGTGCTGTCAGGATGGCACCGCGCTCGCTGGATGCTGAGAACGCGACGGATCGGCCTAAGAAAGGAGTCCTGCGGTGGGGGGACGATGAGCTCAAGCGACGCAAACAGGGCATACACGACGTACCCCGAGGCGCCAGCTTCGATATTCCTGACAGTTACCCTCTCCGACTTAAACACAGTAGTCTTGTCGCGGAGAATTGATATCCGTCGCTTAGGCAACGGTCCGAAACCGGGGAGATCGTCCCGACTAGGTTGCCCATCCACGCCGGGCTCAAGATGCACGTTGAGGATGCGTACGAAGTTTCCGCTTATGCGACTACAGAGAACTTTAAAACGTATACAATCAGATAATGTGTAGGTGACAAACGGGATGTAGCCCACGTCTCCGACTTCCAGAGGCCTATGCGCCAGTCACTCGTTTCCCATGCCAGGCTGAGGATCGGCTATTAGGATGCCCCCGCTTGTACGCCCGCGATAGCTCGGTATGATAGTCGACATGCGTCGCCATGCAGGAGGACAGAGAGGAGGCGGATACTTCCTTCCCGTCCGCACTTCAAGACCGAATCTCGATCCTACGTTCTGAGTCAATACATGATGCGTGCGGTGTCGTGAGAGGATGTGCACCTTGAATCAACACAATGCACCTCCTTTCCAGGCTATCCTAAGCCGCGTTAGACGCGGAGCTACGTTGGCCATCTTTCAGATGTCGGAATCTTGATAAAAGGAAGGTGGCGGCCCACGTTTTGAGCAGCAGTTCGATGGTTTGAGTCGATTGACTGCCTACCAGTACGCGTGGGAACGAAACTCTTGAGCGCCACAGTTGTAATGCGGTCGATCCGGTGCATGATGGGGCATGAAGCAGGCCCGTCGCGCGGGGATTGGGCCGTGAGGTCGCATGTGTGGAGACGGCGATGCTTCAGGCCTCAGGCTGTGCTTGGTGCGAGGCAAACCCTAGTACGACGACTGTGCGGGTGCATAGCCAGAGGGAGAATCGCGTTCATGCTCATAGCAGAGAAGTTTTCGTTGTATAGAATGCGGAGGTGTGATCTTTGGCTTCGCTCGCAACGCATAGTGGTCGTGGTGGTTGCGGATGAAACCAGCTTGAAAGTTCGACGCCGCGCCACACGCGCCGTCGGCGGTGTGAATTGATGCCCAGTAAGAGGTTCGCGTATCTCCGCAGTCAAAGTAGTACCATAGATCGAACAAGTACTGACACTCAGGGCCTCCTTTATCGATGCTGGAGGCAAAAAGATAAGAGTAAACCTGCCAACGACCTGCTCGGCACATGCTCCAACCTCACAGGTGCAAGTTCGCCCAGAACAATACCATTCCGCACAGACCCACCGTCCAACAGGGACACGCATCCTCTTCAAGCTCGATCGATGGAAGCAACTATATGCTCTCCTCACTTTGCGTCGAGCATAATGACTACCTGCCATGAAGTGAACCATCGCAAAGCCCACAGTCGCTACAAACTTGGCGCACACCGGCCTGATGTTGATTCCCTCTCGCCATCATGGACGCTCGACGACCGATTACATCAAGAGCTACAAGTCGAGTCCGAATAAGGGCATGCTCACGCTAACGGCGGCAGGAGCATCTTGCTTGTACGACTTGCGCCTTAACGGGTTTCGTTCGACAGCCTCGCACGTATAGTACCAGGCAGGGCTGAAGGAACAGACATGACGGGCAGGAGGAAGCCGGGGAGGTCCAGGGAGGGCGAGCCCACCACGACGTCTCGGTAATGGGTAATCAAACTGGCGTCTTATTTGAATGAGAGTAGAAGATCATACTTGAGCAATAGTACGACATCCGCTCGAAGGAAGAAAGTGGGAGGGTGTCACAACTGAAAGGCGACCATACATAGAAGAGCAGATGAGCAACCACCACCAAAGCCTACTTAAGGGGTATCTTGCGCCGAACGACGTCGCTGACGCTTGAGACGTAACTCTGCGTAATGGTCGCGCGAGATATGCCGATGGAGCTTCCTCGAGTTTTCAAAGCGCAAAGGGCAGTGCGGACATGCGTGAGGATTGTCATCCGAGCTATAGTCCAACGTCAAAGACGGAGGTCAGCACGAGGATGACACTTACTGTAGATTGATGTGGCAAGCCAGCCCATTGGCACGCTGAGTGAAGGTCCTGTGGTTCACGTCAGAGACAGAGAGGATATGTCTTGTTTAACGAGTCACATACTGGCGGCACCAACTGCACTGGAAGCGCCTGCACAACATCGATTCAGCAAATATTATCATATTCTAGAAAGACGCATACTTGATGTTCATGTGTGTTGCCTCCACATGACGCTTCACCATATGCCGCTGAGACTCATAACTGCACTGACCAGGTGCCCCGTTCACCATCTTCCCATATGTACAACGCCACATAGCGGGGTCGTCGGGGACTTGTTCTGCGTGCTTGACATATGCATTCTCATCGATGGTAACGTCGATCTTGAGGATTTCAAGTTTTACTCCTTTGCCATTGAAGAACACCTTGCGAGGTTCTTTACCGGGTCGTGGTTCGAATCCATGGTCTTTGACCACGCAATCGTCATCGATCGGTCCATCTTCATTGTCGTCAACAGGAACTGGCTGCGTCACGGTAGGCTGTTGGTCGTGGGTAGGCTCTGAGCGTTTGCGTTTGCTCAGATTTGAGGGTATTGCATCGGCAGGGACGTCGGGCGGAGAAGCTGATTCGCGGCTAAAAGGCGTCATTACTAGTACTCTTTGAATAGACGAGAGGGCGCACGTGTCCATGCCCCCTGAGACTGAGTCGGACGCGTTGTGCTGCCGGATGTCAGCGCCACTAGTTGATGTATGGCGAGAGGACGAAGACTCGCTGGCGGGGATCGCTGGGAGATGGGCCACTAGCAGAGAACCTCTGTCACCAAATGTAAGCAGTCGAGGAAACGGCATCCAGATGGGATAGACACGCTCACGTATTCGAAGGGCCGGGGCGACCACTGCCGACGCGAGATAGACTATGGTTCGATGGTGGTGATGTGGATGCTCTCATCTGGCGGGGTAAAGATGGGCTCAGCGTATACCTGAGAACGAGCTTCAGTGCTGTTGACGAGCCTGCAACAGAAACCTCGTACTTCGTGGTGATATCGGTCTCCGCGTTGGAAGGCCTGATTGCCGCTCGTACGTTCAGCCTGGGGGGAGTACGGTGTCGACCGGTATCTGAACCTGGGTGATAGGCAGCGGAAAAAGAAGTCGGGTGACGAGATGATTGGCGGCGCCTAAGAAGTGTTGTGTCAGTATGAGTACTGTTTCTTCACGATTGAGGCTTAGAAGCACCGCTGAGACGAAGGGCTACTTCCACGTGACGTGTCGGTGCTTGACGACGGCGAGCATGGTCTCGGACGATAGTAAGGCGCGGGATCGCAGCTACGAGGGCGGGCCAGCTGAGATTGGGAGACGGAGGACATGGAACTCAGAAACGATATCGCGCAGGAGCAAAGGGGCACTGGGTGATTCAGGGGCAAAGTAAGCATGTTCTTAAGTCTTATAGCGCGCGCTTGTCCCCAGTGAAAATGCGCAAGCTGTACGAACATGTAGAGAATGTGGGGCTATGCACGAACATCCGCGACTAAGAGAAAATTCCATCAGACGCGTCGCGTCATGCGACGTGTCGGGCATTCGCGCATGTTCCCCCACAATCTCCAAATTCGTGTATATCTTCATATATCGTCTGCATGTTAGAATCCTGTAGAGCACGCATAGAGACAATGCTTCAAATGAATTGATTTCCCTCACTTGGTCTTGAGGTGCTCGCACTTGCTGACAGTGAGTGCTTGGAGGGCAAGGGACACAGAGATCAAGGGCTTATATGAAGATGACAACTCTCGTATATGGGTCCTTTCGGCCGCCTGGAGAGCGCTCCGCGATGTACGGATGTTGATAATCTTCGACGGTGGAAACACCATACGTCGTACAGTATTTCTGGGCCATTGGCATGTCAAAATTGTACAGGAAGCCGATATATTCCGCTATGGTACTCACTGGACTGGATCGCAACCAAAGGGATTGTCTGTTTGCTACACGGTCACAACCAATGGCCATGATGGGACTTGAACCCCTGCGATGCATCCAGCTTCAGCCCGACACCAGTCTGCGGCTGAGCAACAACCTGCTCAAGCTCCCGCGTACGCATATTCGCACGTGTCAACTCCTCCCTCAACAACTCAATCTCCGCATCCCGCTGATCCTCGCGCGCCTTATACGTCTCCAGCTCGTCCAGGGCAGCAACGGCGCGCTGAAGGCACTCCGCGCGTCGCACATTTGGGTCGGTGGGGAATAGCCGACGACCAAGTTCTTCAAAGTAGTGCTTCTCGTTATCGCGGAACGTCTTGGCGTAGTGTTTCTTCTTCATGCGTACGCATTCGTAGTCGGTTGGAGAGGTTGGTCCGCTTATACCGCGACGGTGCTTCATTTCGGTGGGCGATGTGTCTGACGCACTCGCAGTCGGGCTGGATGGAGATGTAGGCAGCGTGAGGACAGGACGGCGCGGCTGTGCGAGGGTGAGCCCAGGCTGTAGATGCTCGGCACCAGCAGTCGATGATACGCTCGGAATCGTCAGGAAACATGGAGAGCGTCGGTACCCGTCCGACGTGGACGAGGAAGACCGGGACTCCGAAGGCGAAGGCTGGAGAGCGATCGTAGTCAAGGGGTCACCTGAAGAGCCCCAGGCCGGTGATGTGCCATGCATGCCAGGCTCAAGATGCACGTCGAAGATACGTATGAAGTCGTCGTCGATGTGTCTGGACACGAGATGAGTGCGGATGATGGATGGAGTGAGGATAGAGCACGAACGAGATGTAGCCAACGTCCCCGACTTCAATGGGCCTGAGCGCCAGCCCGTCGCTTCCCATGCCAGGCTGAGCATTGACTATGGGGTGTCCCCGCTCGTCCGCGTGCGATGGCGCAGCAGCGTAGTCTGCATGTAGGGCCATACGAAGGAGAAGAGAGGGAGTTGATACATCCCCTCCGTCCACGCCTCAAGACCATTTCTCGAATCTGTACTCCGAGTCAATATCTGATGCATGCGGTGCTATGAGAGGATGCCTACCTTGCACCAACACAATGCATCTCCTTTCCAGGCCGTATGAGGCGAACGCTGTACGCGGAACTACGTTGACCATCTGTCAGATGTTGAAATCTTGATCGAAGGAAGCCGGCGATCCACGCTTTGTTGGGGCGGTTCGATGCATCGACTGACTGCCATTACGCGTTGGGGCAAGACGTATTCGGAGCCGCAGCTGTGTCCCGTCGCGCGTGCGGCTGCGTGCGGCGTCCTGGGCTGTAAGGTCCTATACTGTATGTGGGGACGGCGATGCCTCAGGCTGTGCTCTGTGCGAAGCGAGCCCTAGTACGACGACTATACGGGTGCATAGCCGGGCGGAGATTCGTAGCACTATGGAAAGTGCGCAAGGAAGTGTTGTTATATTGAGGTATGCTTGCAACGACCATAGGTCGTGGTGGTTGCGAATGAACCCAGCGGTGCGCAAAGCAGCCGACGGTGCGAATTGATGGCGAGTAATGGGTTCGCGTATCTCCGAAGTCGAACCAGTACCATGAATTGCACAAGTACTACTACGCATGGCCGCCATAGTCAGGTCCTTTCTCAATACTGGGACTAGCCAGACAAAGATAAACCAGCCAGTTACCCCGCGACACATGCTCCAGCTTCACAAACGCAAGATCCTCCAGCACAATCCCATTACGCGCCCGTCCAACCGCCCAGCTCGGGTCCGCATCCTCTTCGAGCGCCCGACAGTTCATCTCGTCGATAAAGCGCTGCATGGAGCACGCCACATTCTTCGCCACCTTCGAGCGCGTAACCGGGCCAGAAGAGTTCTTGAAATCGCGCGTCGGGATCTGGCGTGCCCAAGGTGGGTAGCACCCAGCCCACTACATGTCACCGGTCAGCAAAGCGTATTCACCATGTACGTAGAAGAGGAAACGTACGCTAATGCGTACAGAAATCGAGGGGCCGCACTGCATGAATAGACGGTCGTCACGGCCCTCCAGTCTCTCGTACTTCCCCGCCAAAGCATCCGAAAGAGCAATGCCGATCCCGACATCGGAGTTTGTACTGTTGAAGTAGACCGGTTCGTGTCGAAGACTGGAATCGATAGCGCGGTCGCCATGGTCCGCGACGTCGCGGTTCAGAGGGCGGAACTTCGACTGAGGGATCATCGTGCCTCGTCCAGATACCCTGTCTCCGCTATGGATCGTATGCACGACGGGTCGGAGGTCAGCAGCTGGGTCAGCAGCTAAGTGACCTGGACTGAGAGCGTCGATTTGATAATCTGTGACATCCATTTCTGGGTACATATTTGCAGCTACGGTGCAATCAACATTATGCTCGCATCCAGTCGCGTGTGAGCACATACCAACGTAGGCGATGCAGCGGGTCGAGGGAGGAGAGGAAGCCTGAAGCGCACACTTCCATCTCCCAGGACCGACATTTAACTTGTGCACCCGTCAACGATCACAGGCGTGTCCTTCTACGCCCCAGTATGTATGCCTGACATGAACGCTCGAGCATAGCTTGTCTGTGATATATCAGAGTGATGCTCAATCGAGCATTGGGATGCCCAATAGGCCCTAGAAGGATCAGCCGCGGAACACCGGTTCTGACACGACAGATGGCCAGCAAAAACCTAACCTTTCATCAGAGTTGCAAAGACCTGCTATAACATAGCATGCGACGGCGCCGAGGCCAGGTCCACTTGACGATATGCGTAACCCCTTTATATTCTGTCTATGCGACCCGAGGGGGTGCGCCCGGAGAAGGAAATTACAGGGAAGCTTGAGTAAATAATAACGGGCAAGCCGCCCAATTGGTCGCCCACAACGTCCACGTCCGTCAACCTCGATCCTGGTCACATTCTCAGTGCTTGGTCGTCGGCGGGTTGTACTCTGTCCAGGGCCACAATCAGTCTCACTTCCACTACAACAGGTGCAAGAAACGACGTACGGATCTTGCGAGCCTTAATCGGGGCCCACTTGAAGCGCTTGACGTAGATAGAGATGGCGGTGAGAGCAGTGAAGAGGATGACGGCCTTGATACCGGCCTTCTTGCGCTCATCGTGCTCCGGCTCGGCCGCCCAGTGCAAGAACGTGACGACGTCCTTGGCGAGCTGTGCCGTGGTGGCAGGGGTGCCGTCCTCGTACTCGACGAGGCCGTCGAAGATGACACGGGGCATGGAGATGGCACCGCCGGGGAAGTACGGGTTGTAGTTCATGCCCTCACGGATCTCGACGCCGGCGGGCGGGTCGATGTAACCGGTCAGGAGAGCGTAGATGTAGTCCTGTAGGAGAAGATTAGCATGTTATTGGTCTTGGCGGATGCGTCCCGACGTACAGCAGCTCCATGGCGGGCCTTGACAATGAGCGAAAGGTCGGGAGGAAGAGCACCGCCGTTAGATGCACGTGCGGCCTCCTCATTCGGGTAAGGTGCAGGCATGTAGTCCGCAAGCTTTCCCGGGCGCTGGAACATCTCTCCCTGGTCGTTCGGTCCATCCTCGTACTCGACCTCCTCCGCCATTATGCGTGCCTCGTCCGCGGTGTGCGACACACCGACGAGGTTACGCCAAGCAATCCGGTCGAGCGAATGGCATGCCGCGCACACTTCGCGGTAGACGGTGTAACCGCGACGAATGCTAACGAAGAGATATGCATCAGGACCGCATCGGGGATGTACGGGCTTGTGGAATATCCCACCTAGCGTGGTCGAAAGACTGCATCCAACCCTTGTCGCTCCAAGGGTACGCTGGTGGGTGGAGGCCAGCCTCGCCAGCTGAGCTCGCGTGCACCTCGCCGACGAATGGCAGTGAGCCAAAGACGTGGGTGTACCAAGCCACGGACCCGAGCGTAGCCAGAGTCGCACCGGCAAGTGCCGTACGCGATGTCAATGCATCCTAGCAGTGACGTTAGATATGCTGATCAATAGGTACTGGAATAGTAGTGAACGCACCGCGAAAGCATTAGACGAAGCGGCCTCGGTGGACGCGAAGCGAACCTGCTGGCTCGTTGGCGTCATTGTAGCAACGTCCCCTGTACGAATACGCACCGAAGCGGTACGGCCTGCCTGGCGCGCGGCACCGGCAGCAGCGACACGGTTGTTGGCGAGCACGGCCTTGGGCAGCCTCGCTAGCATTTTGGGAAACAGTTGGGAGGGTCGTGAAGAGTTGCGTTCAAGCCCAAGGCGCTTGATGTCGGCAAAAGACGGATTCGCGCCGCACGTGGCGGGCCGTCGCCAATCAGAAAACGGGGATTGATTTTCCGCCGTATATTGTCGCTCGCGTCTTTACTCTTGCTTTCATGGACAATTGGCAGACTTCGGCATAGTACTGCTAGTTAGAAGCGCGTGATGCTGTGACGTGTGCACACGCTTGAAGCAACCTCGTTTCGCTGCACTATCTTTCGCCTGTATCTATTGGCGGGTCTCCAGCCCCTCGACTGGTCCTTCTCCGGTCTTTCGCGAGATGTCTGGGCCAGATCGGGCATTGACTCGCAAGTATGCTATATGTCTTGAACAGGATCTAGACTATCATGAAAGTAAAACACCGCCGCCTATGGTCTGTATGCTCGAAATAGCCTAAGAGGGGTTGACATAGCATGGTGCTGCATGTACCTATCGAACCCGAAATGACTACGTGACTTCGAAGACTGAGTTTCCCGTGTCCGTCTTCAGCGGTGCACGGAGACTATGCGTCGACTCTTACGATGTAGAGAGTACAGTGTAATCGCGTCGCCGTACAGTGGAGGAGCCTAGTCGCATCGACCAGACTCCTGTCCGTTCACTTTCCTCCTCACCGGCCTCACCAAGCGTCCGCTCCTCGACATCGCAATTCGCGGCTCGGGAAGGAGTCCAGGCACACTCGGCGCTCGCGTACAAGACATTAGTTCGCGCTGACCCTAACCCCAATCAGCGCTGTACCCGAAGCGCAATCTCCGCAATGCCGGCCGTTGCTAATGGATGTTGAGCCTGGTGTTTGCAAGCCATCCCACCGCCCCCGTATTGGGAAGCGCGTCGCCGAGGTCGTGAGGCGCCCACAGTACTCGCAGTCTAGCCTATGCACTCTAAGTAGGTGACACGCTCCGTTCGTGCTCCAGCCTAGTACGCTGTCGAATGCGCTTGCAGCCTCCAGCGATAATGTCAGTAGCTTTGGTCTACAGCGACGTGACATCTCCATCTGAAAGGCACAGGAGACACTGACAGCTTTGACGAGCGCCTCTGCACTCTGCGGCGTTTATCCGCGAAGCTACCCGTTCCGCCCTTCCGAAGCTTCGGAGAAGTGACGAGACGCGGAGCGCCCACCTCTCTGGTTCTACCTCACGACCTACAACCTCCTAATCGAGGATTCAGCTTCTAGCGGGGTGCCACAAAGCACAACCATCACACAGTATAATCCCGGGATGCGCATGAATCATCAAATATTCCTCCAACGAGGAAGTGTGTGAGAAAAGGCGTGAGGGAGATAGATACAGGACAGAAGACAGGGTCGCACGGCTCGGCGTCGGCCCGGAGCACTGAGAAAAGGGGGATTGGACGAGAAGAGGCAAGCACGGACGGGTACTTGGGGAGAGAGGGACTGGGATACAAGTGTTCGAATTCAAAGCGGGATCGTCGGGTATGGTGAGGCATCATCACCAGCGCTCGGCGGAGGAGATTCGCCGGGTGATGATGGTGGAAGCCTCATTGCCGGCCGCCCTGTCCGGCATCGTACGAGTCCGCGACGACGACGACCAGTGAACCCTGTACACCTCTGGCGCGTGGCGGGGCACTAGAAGAGACAGTCACAGCAGATCTCTGTTGAGTTATATTGTCAGAATTTGGACACTGATGAGGGTCGGCAAGAGTGACGGACCTTCCGCGCAACAACACAAGCAAGCGCCAGCGAGGCAGGCGCAGCAGCCTCCTCCACCTCCACCACCCTGCTGTTGAGGCTGTTGACTATAAATAACCAGTGTCAGCGTTGATGTGGCGTATAGGAGTTAAAGCGAGGGGTCGACACCGGAGGCGTAGCCGGCATAGTGCTGGTCGCAGGTACAGCGCCAGGATTGCGAGCCGTGTAGCCTAGTAAAGATATACGCCAGATAGATACTCACACATAGACAGTCTGCGGAGGAGGCTGAGGGGCGTAGCCTGGCTGGCCGCCGTAACCACCACCGTAAGACTGAGGCGGTTGCTGAGGATAGTAGCCACCTATGCACCTAATAAGCACTATATTCGCATGAATATACGTAGGCACGCACCCTGAGGAGGGTACTGCTGCTGCTGCTGGCCGTAATAACCCTGGTTAGACATCGGAGTAGTGGTGGTGGTTCAAGGACAGGGTGTTGTGAGTGAAACGGCGTAAAACGCGCGGACCGTGGGCCGAGCATTATTTGAACGAGCCGTTGCTTTTATTACGACGTCCTGTTTAGGTCACAGCCTCGGTTAGGGCTGTACCCTCGTTCTTCCGTCCAAACCACGATGATCTCTTTAACCGCTCCTAGTATGAGCCCAACTATGCTTCCATACGTGCGACGACGTATCCAGAGGGCAACCTCCAGTTGTGCGGTACGGATCTGAGCCCAACAGTGTCCTGCGATTGCCCTGAGACGAGTTGATTTGCTGGGCATCGACAAGCTCTCCTCGCGACTCCAATCCGAGGCACACACCTTAGCGCTACTGGGCATCATCTGCTCGATATGCGCAGCCTGCACGATGCACTCCGAGTACTTCTCGGGCAAAACTCATTGCTGCGTATCGCCCGTCGTTCCAACTCTAGGCCGTACACGCGCTGCGCCAGTACACAGCCTCTCCTCAGGCTGGTGTTCTCGCACTGCATTCATCCACATCTTCCCGGCGTCTCTCTGCTTGCTGTCGCTGCGGTAATGCTCACCTGCATGAACCGTCGGAAAGTGTATACGCCTCGTGTAGAGTGAGGCTCGGCCTAATCGGCGGGACTCGGGATTGCCAAGGTGGTTATCCGGCCGCGCATGCTGACGTGAAGTCCTTGAACACTGGTCGTTGCACGTTGGCGTACTCGTGAACACAGCGCTGGTCTTCGGAATGGTATTTCATGCTCTCACCAGGTCACCAACTTGCGATGAGACCTGTGTAATCGGAGATGCACCCGAGCCAGCGGTATCACGACAGACGCTGAGACGAGCGCCCTCGACGCCTTTTCCGACGGAATAAAACTCCCGATTTCTTTGCATCGGCCTCCACCTGCGTGCGCCCCATATCACAGGCACTCAAGGTCGATGATTGCATTGATGAGTCAACCCGAGGGGCACACCGCATGCCTCCAAAGATCTCGCAGAAAGAAAATAAACGACGCATATGTCTCCCGATTTCTTACGTCCCGTCCCCCACATCGGCCCCGCTCCGCCACTTGTGGCCAAACCAACTAACCCCGAACCGATACACGATGCAAATCGTACACCCGTCTCTCGCCGGGCTCGCTCGGACAGACCTCAAGAACAGGCGGATGCGCCCCATAGCCGCGGCTCTCATTTGCTGGAGAACAAAGCATGCCCGTTCGGGCGTCAGTGGCAAGGCACGCCAGTTCCGCCACTTGACGACGAGAGGGATGACTTGTGCAGAGTGCTTGGACCGGATGCCGGTATATCAGTAGGGGTTTATTAGCGAGGCCGAGGTCGTATTCCGGGGACGAGGTCGTTCGGCTCGCCGGGCTGCGGGCGTCGGTTTGGCCATTTTTGGTCCTCGAGGTTGAAAAGCCAAACGTCCCCGATGCCTCAGGTGGATCCGTAGACATGCATGTGGCATCTCCGATGTCGTGCCTCTGAGATTCGATCCCTCTTGGAGATGCCGCTCTGCTCGAGGCAAGGGTCCGCCGCGGAAGGTGCAGACTGACATTCGAACATGTAAACAGTAGACACACTGCCACTGCGACTGTGCCCCGCAAAAGGATGTTCACTTGCCTCCTTCCGTTCTCTGCCAAATACGTACGACGATCCATCCGACGTATCAGAGGCTTACAGTGCTCATCAGGCAATCCGAAGCCTTGCGAAGTACTCGTTCATCACGTCGAAAGAAATGTGAGTACAGAGACGGCGCCCATCATTCGCGGGGTCCCGGCCAGATTCCCCTCCCCCGCGTTCTCAATGGCGCTCATGTCGATGAGAAGACAAGAAGCTGATGGATCTCGCGTTGTTGTATAACGACGGGCAACTCAAAGCGGGTACGTGTGCCGCACGATACTCGCGCGAAGAGAAGCCCTCGGAGATCGCAATACACCTGTTGAGCCTCTAGCCTCGAAGATCTCAACGTCATTATAGCATAGAAGACGGATGGAACTCGTAAACAAGCGTTTCGTGAGACCAGTGGCGATATTCGTCGAACAAGATGACACAGAAAGACACAAGTACAGGGACGGAGAGCGTGAGTGTGTATGATGGAATCATGCAGGACATCAAGAAAGGTAGAAGGACCACCATGGCAGCGACTGCGAATTTCGAAAGGTTCTGGCGGATCCTCTTTGGTGTTTTGAACCACTCATAGCCTCCTACACAAGACGGTAAATGAGCATTGGCGCAGACACAAGCGGAGACGCATGGGAGGGAACTCAATATAGGGACCGAGTATTGAAGGCATACATGTTTACACCCTGCATCAGGAAATGGCGGGTTAACCGCGTTTGTTCTGCGGACTTGTCAGGCTCAAACAGGGGCATAGCATGGGCGCCCGACGTACCCGGCGCTATATAGTGCGATCGCGGCACAACGGTGAACGGGCCTGTGCTCGCCTGCGCGAGGAACAGGGATGATGATCCCTCGCCTTCACTCATGAGTCGCGTCGGGTCAAATCTGCAAGCGAACATGCGTGAGACACGACTTCGTGAAGGGGACCCGGAGGAGCGGCACAAGCCGCGCGGGCAAACGCGCTTCTAAGGCCGATCAGACGAAGAGTGACCAGAGATACGTGCCTCGAGAGCCGGAGCAAGCGTATACGCAGCGTGTATCGACCTTGCCGTTGAACGCCGATATCAGGGAATAGGAAGAAGACACCCGGTCGGCCATTCAAGTCGCGCAAGTACTGTGGCGAAGATACCGTGCTGCCGTATAATAGCATCCGACGCTGCTGTTGCTCCGCAAACGTCGAAGGTGGGGGCGTCGCCATGGGGGATGGCTGTGCGTCGAGTTCGCGCTGGCCATCTTCGCTAAACAGTGCAACTTGTGCGATGAGAAACGGGAGGTCAGGATCACTGTTGTAAGAAGACATCGTCAGCATATGTACACCGAACACAACGGCGCAGGCTCACTCATCGATGTTGCTACGCCGGTCGTCACAGATGCTCAACCTCGCAACTAGAGGGGGTGAGAGTGGTAGTCTTGAAAGAGCATTGGATCCAAATTCCGCGGTGACTTCTGGCTGCTGTACGACCTCTAATTGATATCTTCTGCGATGGTAATTTGATAATGGTGAGCATGACGCCGGCCCGGACCATGCAGAACGTGGGAAGTATAGATGCATACCTCGCGGCGTCACCCGGCTGTGTATTGGTCGGCGGCGCAAGCAGGGAGGGGATCGGCGGAAGGGTTGGTTTGTTCGAAGGGCTTCCTGACTGACGCGACCAGTTAGGAGCTGGTGCGATCGGCACGAGGCTGTTATAGTAGCTCGAGGTAGGTCGAGGAGATCTTGGCCGATTGCTCCGCGCTACAGGTCGGCCGTCGGAGTCACGGTGAATGGCGGTATAGGCATGAGGCGAACGCGAGGCATGGAAAGTCGTCAGAAGAGCATCGTGAAGGTCGTTAGTTCGGTTGGACAGGCGGCCGTTGACGCCAATACCCTTGATACACATGGCGTAAGCACAAAGGACAGGGATGGAGGTATATATCTCGGGATTACCGAGTGTTTTGTCGATCTTGACAGATCCTTACAGCGGTCAAGCGCCTATGGAGTCTTGCGTCAGGCCCTCAGCGTCTAGGCGCGGAGTTGTGCATTACCTGTGGCGATGACGCTGCCGTTCTTCGTCCACTCGTTCCCGTTCTGGTAGCTTCAAGCAACGGTATACAGACCAGGAACATAGGCTCCGTGAAGCATTGAGACCGCGCGTCGCAGATATGGTTTGACATCACGCCGCTAGACCTTTCAGGGGAACGAAGTGGAAGAAGACGAGAGCATTCGCTGGAGAGATGTGGGAGCACGAGGAACGTCGGGCTTTGATGGATACACTCCAAGATATATAGGGCTCGCTGCGGGTCGAAGCGAAACCAGGAGAATCAGGATCGGGTAAGTGGGCACGAGAATTCCGGCTTTGATCCTGGATTGCAAAGCAATCTATCCTTTTGCTAATCCTCGCGCCTACTTCCCGACGTAAGTCGCAGCGCAAGCTCTGTGGGAATTCAGCCCTTTGACGAATGACTTAAATTCTAGAACGGATAACGGCGGCCTACGAGCATGGATCGAGATCAAAATGCAAAGCAATGCAGAGTGTGATGACCAGTATGGTCGAGAGAGGGGGCGGTATAGCAATTACTGAAAGATATAATGTACTCAGATCAAACGTGCCTCTTCACGTAACTCCAACCTCCTGCTGCTGCAGCAACGACAGAGCCAGCGACCAGGGCAGGTTTGACTCCAGCTACATAACGATGGAAAGCAAGATTAGCCCGACTCAATCTCGTTCCCGATTGGCAACGTACCTGTCGATTTGTACAGTGCCCCCGTGAGGGCTCCTGCGGCCATACTACCATATGCATCATGACGCCCACGCACACCATCGATCGCGGAATTTATCGCGTTGTATGACAGCGCTGGATTGTAGACGCTCAGCGAGATACAAAAGACTGGGAACGTGCTAGAACATACCGAGAACTCCGGCAGAATTGCCCATGAAGGTCCCTCGTCGTGTAACCGAGTTTAGGATCGCATTGATTCGCAGGCGGGCGTTTGACATTGCGAGGGGCCGGCTGGCACCCTCCCGAAGACCCCAAAGTCCACCCAAACCCAGACCTGTGGGTAGTGTGGGTCAGCATGTGATGGTTTGCAAGACAATAAGATGTGAAATAGATATGGTGGACAAGATTGCACAGCAAGCAATAGAAGGCAATCGATAGAACTGATAAGTCTATAGAGAAATTCTATGACATACCGCCGAGATACATCGTCCCTGTCCCATAGCATAGGTCATCACTCCAACCACGCGAGGGAATAGCCGTGTCCGACCCAGGCAAGTCCGTCAACTTGTCATCGTCAAGCATGAGGTAGTCGACCTGGTCGCTGATACCCGCCAGTGGGTGTAACCGCGCAGGGTCGTATGCGCTGGCCAGCAGGTCCGACGCGCTGACAGGTGCCGCATCTGGCACTACGCCAGCTCCAGCTTTCGCAAATTGCGCATTTTTCAGCAAGTCAGTGGTGTTTTGCTGTGGCACCGAGTCGGACGACGACATTAGAGTAAAATAAGGAGTAAAAGATAAAGCGAGGAACGCGACAGCTGTGGCCGACCGTGGACGAGCGAAGGAAAGTGTTTGACGCGCCAGCGAAGTCGCGTCGAAGTCGCCGGACACGTGGGCTTCGGCCGAGGTCCTGGTTCCGTCACCGTCTACAGACCTTTCTGCTCGAACCACCACCATCTTTGGAACGTCGACTTGCGACTCTTCTTCCGGAGTACACAACAATAAGCGTGTACAAGCGCTCAATTATGCTCAGCTCCGTTCCGCGTCTGCCGGCGAGAAAGATTGCCCAATCGGTTCCTCGGTTTAGTCCGGGGTTTGCTGTTCAGCGCCAGCAGCGCGCAATACACGCCTTGAGTGCACGGACCTCCGTACCGAGCTATACTTCTGCGCTCTCGGTGGGTCTTTCTGATAGTCGTGTTCTTGGCCAGAAACGTCGGTACCACTCCTTTCTGATGCCCGTCCCACTCGTCAACATTATTCCAAGTGTGCTAAATCACGCCGTTCACACTTGTTTAGGATGGGCCACGTCCACGACCCCGCACTCGACTGCATCTGATCCTGCAGAGGTTGCCGCAATAGACTACTTAGAGCAGGGTACACAAAAGCTCGAGGAGGGCGACGTTCAAGCTGCCAAAGAGCTCTATCAGAGGAGCGTCGAGATCAAACGTAACGCTGGCTCACTTTTCAATCTCGGGGTTACGCATTACCACCTCAGTACGTGCCGACTCCCACGTTCTCCGCTAGAGTGCGCTCTGATCGTGCGTGTAGAGGAATTCGACGAAGCCATTGCCGCCTGGAAAGAATCTATCGAACTTCAACCATCCAGCGCCGATGCGCATACGAGTCAGCCAGAGAACGATTACTGTCTTTCGCATACACTCTAACTCGTATGACAGACCTAGCGAACGCATATGTCATCTCCCCTGTAGCCAGGCCCGACCTCGCCTTGCGCCATCTTCAGTAAGCCGAACACCAACATGTTCACGGAGTTAACTGACCTTGAATCAGAATCGCACATTCTCTCGCACCTGAAGACGCCGAAATTGCATTCAATTTAGCTGCTGTGCTGGAAGCATGTAAGTTTGAACGTTCGGAACTCAACTCGGACCTAATACCCTTACTAGGTGGGCGATTGGAGGACGCTTTGACGTATTACAAACTCAGCAAAGAGAACGGCGTTGATCGAGCGGAGATGCATATGCGCAACGTAGGTTCAACTCCTATTACACCGGATTTGGACTGACAGCTTCTCCGTAGGTGAGTGCCAAGATCCTAGGGCAGCGTATGAAACAGGCAGAGGCTACCGCCTCTGGTGAAGTAGCTGACAAAGCGTAGTTACGGTCTCCTACTGCTTCCCCTTCACCTGCCTGCGCACCACAGTCACACTATCTTACATTACCATATACCATCTCACTCCATCATAGAGCTGCTCGCAATGAATGTAGACTCTCTTGCATGTGGTGACACCTGACTTGGATGGCGAGGTTGTAGCGAGGACTCCCTTGCGGGGTATTAGTGATCACCGGCCGCTTGTGTATGCCTATGCAGTCTCCAAGATGGTGCGATGAATTGGGTATGGCCTAGTGTTCCCACTATTCCCTAGTCAAACTCGAAAGGATCTGTCGTTGTACCAGCCCCTCGCCACGACCCTCGGTCCGAACCAGCTGAGCCTCCTGCTTTACCTCCGCGCCCAGAATCATCGCCTCGTGTCCGATGCCATCCTTGTCCGCCGCTATAAGCAGGGCCGTGGGCAGACGAGCCACTAGCCGAACCATGCGGCAAAGACAGGGGCATACCTCGGCCCGCACCGCGTCCTCCTCGATCTCCTCGATTGCCATATCCAGCCGATGCGCGGCTTCTCCAACTACCAGGTGTTGGTCCCGAATATGGGTACGTGCCTCGCGCGCGGCTCGCGGGATAAGCATGGCCGCGCCCACGCCCGCCATACCCGTATCCGTACGTATTGCCGCGGTAATCGCCGGTTCCACGGGCGCTGTGCGACCCGCTACCATAAGCATTGTACCCTCCTCTTCCCGTTCCACCACCTCGGAAGAAATTCGTGATAGGTTGCTGGCGTGGATCCAATTCGGCCGATGCGTCGCGCGCACGTCGAAGAACCTGTATGATGTCGTCACGCGAGTAGTCTACAGAAGCGTGGTCGGCGGGCGTAAGTCTAAGTAAGGATTGGTGTCTTTCACTCGGATGCGGAGGTTCAAAAGAGCTAGAGAAGCGGCGAAGGACTGAGATCGCCGTCTGCGCATCATGCAGCGTTGGATGATTGCGTCCTGTGATATGATCATAGTAGGTAAACGTCGTGTAACCAGACACCTATAACCGGCTACAAGGCAGTTAAGTCACTCACGATGTTGCAGTCGTTCAGCACAGACCTATTTGTCTTCGCTATCAGAGTTAGGCGCCGTAGCGATGGAGATGGCTCTTACATTGTACGGCGTGTCAAAGAAGATGATCCTAACCGGTACATTTTGCTCGTGTGCGATGTTCAGCCAGTGAGAACGCTGCCTGAACGATCAAACAAAGAACGCGTGTCAGTATACGCAGCCAAGTAGAGGGAACTTCATCTCATCGAGAAATGGTATGCTCACGTCCTGTCGAGATTCGTGCGGTCAATACATACGGAATGTCCTTCCTGAAGCGTCCGCCGCGCCGCGTTCTCAACTGCGCGCCGATCGCCCATCTCATCTTGACAGCACCGCCTGAAGAGAGGAAATTCCCGCTCCAGAGCGTCTGCAAACGTAGACTAGACAAAAGCGCGGGCACAACCTAGTCAGCGCGCGTCCCGACTCGGAAAAGATACGCATGGAAGCCCAATGTCGAGATCCTGCTGACCTTGCCTGCGCCGACCAGCCCTACCAGCATCAAGAGAACTTGCTCATCAGCAACGGCGTCTTCTGTTGCCGTATGACTTGTATGTGAACCGTCGGCTATCGCAATTGTCGTGGCGTCCAATTGCGGGGTCGCAACCGCATGCTGTTCAGCGGGCGGAGCATGGTTGAGAGATCCTGCTACCGATACAGGCGTCTCCACGGGCGCAGTTGACCAGTCAGTCGAGCCTGCAGGCCGCTCATATGGCTCAGCATCGGAACGTGTATCATGTATATCAGTTTCCTCAGAGAGATCTGTGGCAGAACTGCTTCTTTCCCCGGTCGACGCTGAGCGCATGAGACCGACGGGTATCACAGGCGCAGGCGGGTAGCTTTCTCCGGTGAGGTCTATGATGCTATTCTGCGACATGAGCGTGAAAGTTTAGACCTGAAAGAGCAAGTACTAGTAAAAGGATGTGAAGGGATAGGTCACCGATATTCCTGACTAGATGAGCGTCGAAAGCAAGATGCGTCTCGCTTATGCGCGTGCTAAGCGCGCCACCCGACAAGATGTATTGATGCAATGTCTTTTACGATGTCAAAGCCGCTCTGCTCGACGAGTACATTCTGTTCTTGGCCAACATTTCCAATGTGCCATACAACGAGGCGCGTGCTATCGTTCACACAACTGCGTAACAAATCTATTTGAGTGCACCATCAACTTCATCATGGTTGTATCATGTCATGGCCGAAGCCTTCGTCCGATCCTGTTTCATACAACCCTTGAAAGGAATGTTGAGATAATGTACACCCGGTATAGATGTGATGCGCTGCACATGGGGGCGACAGGCGCGTCCACCGCGATTGAAAATTGTGTGGCTAAGTGGGGTCACTGCGCTTCGTCTTCGGCAATCTGGTCGCCACTGTGCAAGGATGTGGTTATTCGAGGGAGTACTTGTGCGTCAGAAGTACTCACCAGGATGTGCGACTTCCAAGTGACCAGTCTCTCATCCCTGCTGACCTTCACCGCTCCGTTCGGGGGATCCTCCATTCTGGCTTGGTTGGTCGTCTGGAACTAACAAACTCACGCCCGTCATGAACCTGGCAACGGTCAGTCTGAGGAACCCATCAGTCTCGCTGGCTTCACGTACTGGGCGGCATGCAAGCCGGAGAGTGTGCGCATGGCATCAAGATCGACCTGCAGTTGTTCGAACAACACGGACGTTTGGCCGATCGCACGAGAAAGTCTGGTCAAGCTCGAGGCGAGCTGGGCGTATTGCCGCTCCTTGGCCTGTATCGCAGAGCTCATATCGTGTACGTGGTACCCCGCCTCAACTGAGCACCGGTGATTTACGACAAGATGGTCGTACACTTCAAAGGTGCCGGCCGGCGGGCGAGCGACCAGTCGAACAAAGGAACACGATCACGTGTGTTTCTATACTTGATACGGCGCTACCGTGCTGGGGACATGCTGGATCTGTGGACACGAGGCTGTGTGACGCAGAAGCTCGAAGTCCAATCACTTTGCTACAAAGCCCGCTATTGACGCAACCTCTTCTCAGACCATTATATCCAGCTGTGGTGACCACCGCCTCGCTACACCGACACCTCAAGCGAGCCGCCTGACGCACAGGGACAAGTATAAACAAGCTGAGCCCATACAGGCGTGCAATTTGCGATTCTACAAGAAAGTATGCATTATGACTAGAGACTAGCAAGCGAGCGAGGAAACCGAGTATGACATGCGGAGCCCAGAGCATATGTAAGGTAGTTAGTGAGTCGCGCGACAGCAGTTTGAGTGCGGTGCGAAATGGAGTGGAGACGTAGGATAGCGAGACGAGTCGCTCAATATATGTATGCAAGAAGATGGATGGGTTTTTATCGGTGGCATAGTTCATCATGCGTCGCGAATCGTGGACTCTGCGCGAACGATCAGGGCTATCCACAGAGAGATTGATAACGCGATACGCACTGAAGAATTCATATGACAACCAGCAAAGCGCATTGCTGGGCATGTGGGTGATGACCCGGGGTGTCAACCCCCGTACAAAGCCCCTCGCACCTTCGCGCGCCCAGATCAGGCGAAAAGCGTCCAACATCCCGCGCGCGGCACGGATTTGTGGGTCCTGGCTGCTCCCACGGGTCTGTAGCAACGTCTTGGCAACGTCCAACGGCGTCGTCACGGCCGCAGCAACAGCGCCAGCAAGACCACCGGCCAGAACATGACTGCTGGGCGAGTAGATGCCGCTCGGGTTTAATGCCGATTTGACGTGCTCGTATACGGTGAATTGTGTTGCAGTGAATGGCACGGTCATCGTGAGAGTTGTGGGGTACGAGACGTAGAAAGCGCCGACGCCCTCGCTGCGCAGAACCGAGCGCGCACAATCGAACATGTTTCGGTGTGCCGACTGGTGCACCTGCATACGCTGCTTGATGACTGTCGCGGTCCTCGTAAGTGCCGTGCCGAGACGCCGTGCTGGCGGAGATTTGCTTACCGTCGAAGGGGTTCATCAGTGCATCGCTCGATATTGTCGCAGCTGCACCCGCAACAGCTACAGAAAATATACTTTAGTCGCCAGAGTTTCATATCTGGAGGAGAAAAGGGGCGCACAGGTGGATATCCATTGATTTGTGACGTCCTCCTTGTTACCGCCCGTATACTCCTTTACAAACTCGTACATGCCAAAGTGTACGGCGTGTGCGGGGCCAGCACCGAGAATAACCGAAGACACGCCGCGCCAGAGGACACGCAGACCTTCCGTTGACGAAATCCGCGTCACTGCGTTCCCAAGACCAGTGTATACCGCTGCTGGCGATGCCGACAGGACCTGCATGCGAGTCTATGATATCTAGATGAGTATAAGGATTCAAGCCGTATTCGGGAATGACAGCGAACCTTGATGCTGTCGACAGGGAACATGACGCAGTGTTCCGTGATGCCAGCCTGCAGATCATCGTGTCAGTCGTCGACGAAGCGAGGGGTTGTGGCGGCAGGAGACAAGATATAGATTGCAATCTGATACTAACCAGTGCGCCGGCCGCCATGTTGACCTATAGTTCAATGAGCTCACGCGCGCGCAATCCAGGCGGTCGAGAACGTACGCCTAGCCCCGCGTTCGGCGACAAACCCTCGTAGTCGATTTCGTGCTCAGCCATTGTTGCTTCGTGCTATACCGAGTGATGCTACCTGAGCGTGATGAAAGAAGCAAGCCGACCCGAGCGCGAACGACTGGGGCAGGGAACGTGGAGGGAGCGTTGAAAGGCGCGAAACGTTCGGACGCGTCGGCTTCAAGTTGGAGGACCGCGCGGTCACACCCACACATCAACAATTTGCACAGCTCAGGTACACGCGTGGTCTCGGCTTTCAGGCTATCTCGGGCGGCAAAGCGGATAAGATTGTGTACAAAGTGTGTACCACACCGATTATCAGATCATCTACAAGAAGTGTACATTTTTCTACGGAACGATATCTCCTATTGCTTTGCAGCCGCCTCGTCGTGCGCGTCAATGTCACTGTCTATCGTCAGCAAGGCTGCTATCGCAGATGCAAGCTGGTACCCACATAGCCTCCCAGGGGTAGTCGAGCCTGCGAAGAAAGCGATCCGGTCAGCATGTACACGATCTCACAAAGCCAAGCAGTTCTTCTCACCAGACGTCCTCCGTCTCGGCAGCCTGGAAGTATCTACGCGCATAACGCATCAGGGACACAAGCATCTTGGCTGAGACACAGCAAGGCTTACTTGACTTCGTTCGGGATCGTGCCGAGCTTCGTCTTGCGCTTGTTATGCACGACGAAGATACCGAACTTCGTACGTGCGGCTTCACGCTCGGGTTCGGGTAGAGTCTGGATCTCACGCTCGACATCCTTTTGCAACTCGGCAACAGCGTATCTGTGGGCATTGCTAAGCCGGTTGTGCATGGGCTGTGGGTAAATGCCTCACTGAAGCGTTTTGCGCGAGTCGTCAACCTCGTCCTACTCACGCCCGTGAGCCTTCTAGCCACGCGCATATCCATGAGAAACCCCCATACCACAATCAACGCACGGCGACCAATGAGTGCCTTGTGTGTTTCCGGGCCACTGCTCCATAATGAACGCGCTTCTTCGGGTCAAGGATGATGAAGCCACTTACAGCCATTGTGTACGGACAACCTCCTCGCCGATCATCTCAGCAGTCGTTCCGGGTAAGCTCTCATAGAGAGAAAGCCCAATAGCATAGATGGGGATGTTCTGCTTTGTCTGAGTGTTCTTCAAGAACGTCCGCTATCAGAGTACACCTTGAGTGTCTTGTCAAGGTCGAAACCGGGCGCAAGAGATAACGTACCAGAACGCGAGCGGGGAAGAATCCGCTACAGGCATGTGGCGTCGGCATTACACATTAGGCATATGCTCTAAACGGAACAAACCCTCCACCTGCGGGCAAGACAGAAGCACTCTCAGCGACGCAATTCTCATAGGCAATCAGACTCATGCGCACCAATGGCGATGAGCACATCCGGCGCGAACTCGGTCTTGATCTGCTCAGCGCACGCCTTGATAGACTTGTGCACTTGGTTATATGTGACGGCGTGGTGAATAGGATCGGACGACATGATGGACTAAAGAGGGAAGTGGCTTGAAGCAAAAGGCGAAGTCCAGTGAACGCGCCAAAGAGCAGCGGAGATCTTTCGTCGCACGGTAACACCGGTCCGTGTTCCCGTTCATTTCGCCGTTGCAGGCCGTTGCCACACGTTGGAACAGACCACCATCTGCTCGCGCTCGCGCACTTTTCCTTCCTGGTCATATCAGCAGATACAAGATACATTTGCATATCTTGTACCCGCTTCAGCGCGCCGCAGTGTTGTTGCACCTTTCCATCCGCAACTCACTCCTTCGATCGTACCATCGTGCTATGCCCATCGATGTCCTTGACGACGATGTTCTCGTCGAGATCTTTCAAATTTCTGCCCTGCTTGATTATCCTACGAGGTTTGGGAAATTGGGCTGGATACGCCTCACGCACGTCAATCGCCGATGGCGTACTCTTCTCTTGGATCAACAGGCGCTCTGGGGACACATCATATGCAGCTTCGTTTCTCGGGAGGCCTTTCGTGTCATACTGAGTCGCTCACGGAACGCGCCATTGTCTCTCAATTTGGACCTCCCTTGGATCGAGAGACATACAACTATCGAAGAATTTGCGAGCTTGCTTCCCAGAGCGCGAGACATCCACGACGCCTCGTCAAACTCTGGTGTAGGTTCTGCGCGAATACCGCTCGCCGGCCTCAAGATGCCTTTCCTAGAGCATGCATTTATTGTCAGCTGCTATAGCCCTGGGAGCGCCCTTATTGCGCCCTCCCTACGTTGCTTATCCACATGCAAACTCCCTTGCTCCATATCCGCACCGAACTTGCGGATATTGGGACTTTCTCTCCCAGCGCAGGAGGCCAATGCTCAACATCTGCCTGATCTCCTTGCTACTTTTCCTGCACTGGAAGAGTTTACTATCCATCTTATAGACGCTAAGCCGTGGCATGGGCTAGCAGAGCATGACAACAACCCAGCAACCCAATTGGATGAAGAGAAGCCCCACGATATCCAGGAAGCGTCCCCACACGATAAACCACGTGTAGCACTGTCGCATCTCAAATCTCTCGAGACACTCAACTGCGGCGAGTCGCTCATACAAATGCTTTGGCGGTCGCTTGTCGTGCCTCACACGGCAGCCGTCAAGCTTGCCTTCGATCGTCGTCTCGCCACGATAGACGTGGGATTGGCAGAGCCCATACAGACCTACCTGTCTTATCGCGAGTGCGATATGCTCTCCATTATCATTCCCTACTATCGCGATGAAATGACATGCCTCGTTGCCGGAAGAGACCCCAGTGCAGCTGGATCCTGCACTCTCACCGTCGAGACGGATCTTCCGAATATACTCAGCTTCTTCTCCAGCCATCTCTTCGAACACACACGGACGTTACGTCTCTTTAATGAGGTCCGCGACCACGGACTCCGAGACCTGCTGATGGGCATTGCCAACACCGCTCCCGCCGGCAAATTCGCATTCGTCGAGTCTTTGCAGTGCGGCGGCCCCGAACTATCGGAACTGGCCGTTGTGCTAGCATCGTACGACTTCCCACGATTGCGCTCGCTCGAGCTCGACTTGACGGAGTACGCCCATGATGGCGATCCAGTAGACGACTTCACCCGTGTTCTACTCGCGCGAACATCGCTCCGGAAGCTTGACCGCATCGTTCTTCGCGGGCATTTCACGAGTGAAGAAGAGTCGAAGACCGCCGGGGATATACTGCACAGGGACCTTCTACAAGTGGCGGATGAGGTAGTGGACGAGAGGGCTCTTGCAAGAGGTCTCTTGACCGCCTAGTACGGCAGGCAGGCAGATACCGTAGAGACTCGTGCGTTGTAGTATCACACGACCGAATACATCACTGCTCTTGACTTCGCCTATTACTGATGCCAGAGACATGAGAGATATAGAAGTACGTCCTTCATGGTGTCATTCGAAGAGCTCACCGGAACGCAGTCCTCCGGGTCGGTGAGCTCTCGGCAGGCAGTTCCATCAATCAGTACGCCGCGTACCTCTGACTGACGGCGGACGGGACACGGGCCGCATCTCGGCCGCATCCGCGTGTTGATGCAGGTGACTGCCGCTTTGTCTCCTTCGCAGTCCTTATGGATATAGATACACGCAGCTAGCTGAGCGCTGGCGTCGCTTGCTTCTGACCCTCACCCTCGCCATCTGTCGTCGAAGCTGGCAAGTGTTCCTATTTTTGATTGTAAGTATATCTGTATACAAGTGCGGCCCTGAACTAACTACCAACAGTGCCACAGCTACCCAGTTAAAATTGTGCAGTCGACATACCCTCAACGCCTTGACCACGCCTTGCGCGATGTCTATTCAAACACTCCACGACGATAACCTCATCCTCATCTTCGAGATGGCCGCAGAGCTCGATGCACCCGATGCATATACCACTTTCCAGTTAGGATGGATCTCACTCTCGCACGTCAATCGTCGCTGGCGCTTGCTTCTTCTGGACCAGCCCGTACTCTGGGGGCGCGTCGTATGCGAGTTCCCATCTCGGGATGCGTATCGCACTTGCTTATACCGCGCACGCGCCGCTCCACTAAGCCTGAAAGCGGATCGTGATTGGGTCCAGATGTGCACAAGTGTCGAGGAGATCGCCAGCTTGATCCCCAGAGCACGGAAGATCGGCTTTGCTGATCCAGCGGCCGGTGTCTTGACCCTCTCACTCGAGGGTATGGCATTACCACTGCTAGAGGATCTGAAGACTGTGAGATGCCATAGCATGAACAAGGGTCTCGTTGCACCTTCACTGCGCCGGCTTTCCATCTACACAATCCCGTTCTCTATCTCCGCACCGCATCTACGGACCCTGTCCGTCGTCCTCTCCACTTTGGACTCAAACACACATTATCTACCTGGCATCGTCGCCGCCTTTTCATTCTTGGAGGAGTTGACGGTCAAATTCTTGGAACCTGGTCGGTGCTATCTGACAGGCGCGGCCGACGACGAGCTGGCCCGCCGTAACAACGAGGACCGCTTGAACGCAATCCTATCAGATCTTGAGCGCGGAACTCCACCCAAGGAGATGCCCAGACTCACCTCCCTCTCTGTCAGCGACTGCGATGCATTATTCATCAAGGTGTTGTGGCGCTCATTGGCTGTTCCTCGAACAGCAACAATCAGTGTCGTTTACGGCTCTGACGCCGTATGGCGACTTGCTTCCGCCGAGCCGATGCAAACATACCTTTCATATCCTGAATATGATACACTTTCCGTCACTACTTCTACCGATGGAAGGGAGCAGAGATGTTCACTTCACGCGGGAGAGTCTGGCGTTGCCGGCTCATGCGATGTGACGCTCATCTCTAGCTCCATCTTGTACGCGCTGAGTGCGTCCTCCCTCGACTCGATCTTCGCAAACATACGAACACTACACCTTGTCGACAATCAGAAGCCGCAAGCTGCTCGAGAGGGATCCAGACTTACAAGTGGTCCTAATACCACTCCTCTCAGACCAAACCTCGGAGCATTCTTCTCCGTCCAATGCTTAAGGCTCGGCGGGCCCGGCGTGGTCGAGTTGTTGCTCGTGCTTTCGCTCTACAACCTCCCCAAACTGAAGACTGTCGAATTCGACGGTACGACGCAGCCCTTTTACGATGGCGACGCGATGAGCGACTTGTCCCGCATACTGCACGCCAGGGCGTCCGTCCCTGACAATACGAGGCTTGGGCGTATCGTTATCCGTGGTTGGGTTCCGCGCACAGAGAGGTCGAGGATCGAGAGAGACGTACTGGATTTGGACTTTCATAAGGTGGCCGACGTGGTTACAGATGAGAGAATCGTCATGTTGGTCCATGCGGACGATGCTCTTGCAGCAGAGTCGGGTCAAGACCAGTCGGCGTAAACCTACCAGGGAGAGGAGGGCGTGCGGAGGCAATAGGGTCATACACGGAACCGTGCTCTTCCTACACCAGAGCGGCCGTGTCAGGCCGGCTACTTAGGAAGACTGGAAAGAGGAGCACCACGCGTGGCGGCGGTTTCTCTCTCCCCAAAACGGGTTTCATGACGCCAACCCATCACTTTGAGCAGGCGGACGCAGGAGGAGACGGTTAAACACGGCCAGGACGATGCGGCAGCAACAGCCCAAGCGGCGCTCGATGCACGACACCCCATCACGCATGACCACAACAACGGGTTGCAATGCATGTGGTAGATGCGTACACCGGGACTCCAGCGCAATCCCATGGGGATAGGCTACGCATGTCTGCCCAGGTAAAGGAAAAGGTACGATTCGGAATGCGAGATGTACACAAAGTGCTCCACGCTAGCAGCATGTGGCTTCATACATCTTTGAAAGAATGAGCGTCGTCCATACAGTACGGCGTGCAGTACAGCAGTGCCATCGAACGATCGTCGATGTTTGGTTCAACTCGCGAAACTAGCGCGTCGGCCGCGCGCATGTTCCTCCCTTGAGCAAATATGGACCTGCAAGACCACGCAACTGCACCAGCACGGTTCTTATTCCCAATCGGGATCAACTGATTGGTCCACCGTCTAAAGAACTAAGACCGACATCGCTGACAACGACCGCTGACACCGCCAATATGACGCTCAGAAAGGCCACACTGCGCACGCCGCCGAGCTCCGGACCCGGCCTCGGACTTGCCGCGCGTCTTCGCGGCTGGGCCATGCTACACTCGCGACGCGATGAGCACAGCGCCCGGCAGAGGGCCCGGACGGCTCTCGTACCGCCTGAATACGAACGCTCATGCCAAATAGTCACCTCAGACCTTAACCCAACCCGGCATCCTTGTCGTGTGCCGCACGAACAACTCAGCGCTTTGGCTGACGCCTCCACACGGCCGGCAGCTCGAGACTTCTACTCTTAAGGATCCGTCCTCTCGCTCGGATTCTTGTCTCTACTACACGTCTCGTGCTCTTGATCAGCACCGTCCAGCTACTAGTAACGCTACACGATGCGACCCGGCTTCGATTCATGGCGCGAACAATGGCGCGCTAGTGTACCGCCCGGCCACCACCCAATGGACTACAACCCCTGGGGCTGGCATCCCCACCGCTACCGCCGCTTCGGCTTCGGAAGACGACTGTTCTGGTTCGGCTTCGGCGCATTTGCAACGATGGCATGCATGCGGCATCATGGGATGATCCAAATGAGCCATGAAGGGGAGCGCGGGCGCGGGGAGTGGGATGGCGGATGGCATGGGCGTGCATGTCGACGCGTTGAGTATACGCCTCGGCTTGTGCCGGAGGACGAGAAGGACGATCGCTGGGGACCGTGGAGCCGCGGATGGCACCACCGTCGTCGAGAGGAGCAGGCCGCTCAGCGTGCTGCCGAGACGCCTGCGCCCGCACCCGCACCCGCTCCGCCGGCTGCACATAGCGTACCGGTACAAGCCATCACTGGGCAACATACACCGGCACCGCATCCGCCGCCGGCGGGAACTACAATACCCGTCGTAGAACAACAGTGGGAAGCCGACATGCGCGCCTTTACACGGCAAGCCTCCGAACGCGTACGTCTTCCCCGCCTTCTCCTTCCATTCTTCGATCTGACAGGCTTCTCAATCTCGATAGGTCACGGAGTTGTCCGAGGCGACGATCGACTCGCTCGTATCGGGTTTGCAGGGCCTCAAGACGCGCCTGGCGGAGCACCGGGCGGAGGTGCAGAAGGGGCTTGCTGAGGAGGAGCAGAAGCGTCAGCAGGCGAGGGCGGGGCAGGCGCTTGCGTTGCCGGTGCAGCAGCAGCAGCCGAACTCGTCCGGATCGCAACCGCCTCGTCTTGTCTGATGAGATCTGCGAGATCTCGTATCGAGATACGGACATCTGAGGGGTCGCTCATATGCATCTAATCTTCATCTGTAAACATTCTATCCCTTCTCTGTTCTCCCATCAAAGTAGATCGCCACTCTCCTTCACGTGTACGATAACTTCCATCTGTTTTGTGTAGCTCGCCTCATCTCAATGCATGCCTTTGCTTTGATTCATAGCCGAGCAACCCGATGAGAATGGTACAATATCAAGAAATCCGTAGGAAGAACGTGTCTAGCAATCGTGAACAGCGGTATGTGTACAGATTCAGTCTTCCCCGTCCATGGGGGTCATCAAGAGTCATTGTGAAGCACTGTCTGCGGACTCTGCGTCACGGGTGTTGCGGTCAAGGTAAGCGGGCGTTTGAATGTCGAGTTTGCCCTGCTCTTCCGCTGCAAGATTCGTCAGTACAATAGTGGGCGCGACAGGATGCAGAATACGTACGTGTGCTGTGCCAGAAGTAGATGACTAGCCCAACGATGACCACGACGAACGCGGGGAAGTACAACCAGTATGGGCTGTAGTGCTGTACGCCCGTCAGCTCAGGCATGACGAGCAGTATGGAGTGACCACGTACGAAGAGGAACAGCCCGAAGAGCAGCCCAAAGAAGTCGCTCGTCAGGATACTGATATTGTAGTACACGCTACTGCTCAAGCGATAGAGCAGCGGGGCAACCGTGTACAAGATCAGCATCGCAGCCGTATAAGCCACAAGCAACCCGATGTTCTCTCCGCTCCACGTAGCCTGCGGGATCGCCTTGTGCTCAAGACCCGCAAGCTGAATTCCATTGATCATCATGCCCCACATGCCGAGCTGGCCCACGACCTCGTACAGCGGGCGACGGCGGACAAAGAGCTCCTCGGTGGCGTTGGTGAAGCCGTAGAGTGTCGCACCGATGATCATGAAGCCGTCGCCGAGACCCTTGTTTGAGGCTGGCCAGTCTTTGTCGGTGATCTCGTCTGAGGCGACTAGGAGACCAAGACCGGCGATGCAAATGAGGATGCCGAGGATCTGGGTCCAGTGATACTTCGGACGTTGATAAAGCCATGCGAATGCCATGCACACCGGGATAGCCCACCTGAACAGTATGGTCAAACTTGTGAATCAGGTGCGGGAATGCGGTTAGACGCACGCATCGAGCAGCATGCACGACAGCAAGTTCGTGTACTGGTATGCCTTGACGACGAGGAAGTTGCCCTCGACGTCGCACGCGGCCAGGATGATGTACTTCCAGCCGTCATGCCAGATCATCTTAGCCCAGCCCTTGAAGCCATCTAAAGCATGATCAGCGAGACTCGAACCGCAGCGCAAACGGTACACGCACATTTGTAGATCGTGTAAGGCGTATAGATGCAGAAGAGCGAGAAGTACCTGACGAGTCATTCAGTAGGCGCCCACAAGATCAAAACAAGTACGACGCACAAGAACCAGGTTTGAGTAGTCGGCAGAGCCCAATTGCGAGTGGTGAGCTCGGTAGTCGTAACATTCGTGCAGGTGATACACAGGCTGACGACCTGACCAGCCAACAAGCTCAACCAGAACCTCCTCGTGAGCACGCTCTGCAGCCGGCGCTTGACGCTCCCAAAGAAAGCGCCGGGCGAAGAGTACTCGATCGGCGGGCGCGCGGCGTAGACCTCCACATTAGGCAACGCGGCAACGTCCACGACGTCGTCCTCTGACGAGCGCCTGTCGAGCGGAGCCTTGCCGTCGTCTGCGTACGCAGGGGGCTGGTCCATGATGGGACGGGACGAAAGAAGGCCTGCTCAGGCTTCGGAAGCGCTAAAGCAGCTACTTATCATTTCCGTCGCGCTTGAGAAAAGTTTTGCGGCGTTGACGTTTGCAGGGCTAGATCCGGGTATAGATGGAAGTATACATTGATCCAGGCACGGAACCGCGCAGGCTGTGGTCTTCGAACTGTCTTCTGCAGTACATGTAGCTACATCTGGTATGGAGAGAACCTACGTACAGAACGCCATCGTCGTGTGAGTACCTCAGCTAGCCGCCGCATCCGCCGCGAAGCCCATGTTCCTCAACCGCGCCTTTGCTATCCTCCCCACATCCTCAACCGCCCTCCTCACCTCCTTCTCCCACTCATCGCTCTCGATTTTCACCCTCCCCGCCTCGTCCTCTCCAACCACAACATCCTCTCCGCTCCCCACGCCCAACTTAACTTCCATCTCCTCCATAATCTCCTTCCTGCTCCGTCCATTCACGAACGTGATATACCTCAGCCCCTCGTACCTATCCTCATACAGCGCATTAAGCTTCGCTAAGCGCTCTAGGACCTCAGGTGGCGTCTGCTTTGATGCCTGCTCGGCAGCGCTAAGCGCGCTCAAGCCGGATACCTCGCCGATGCGCGGATGCGCGCCGATGAACGCGGCCTGCTTCTCCCGCGGCCATTGCTTGATCGACGCGACGGCGGCGTCGACGAGCGTGCCATATGACGTGTAGATGTCTGGTGACGAGTTGAGGAGGGCGGGGACGAGGTCGGAGTAGAGGACTGGAGAGGGTTCGAAGAGCGTGGCTAGCGCTGAAGCGAGAGGGCCACTTGGTGAGGCGTCGGATGATGTCGCGAGTGAGGGTAGGCTGGGAAGGCTGGTGGGATATATAGACATGTTTGGGACACTTGTATAGTAGCGTAGCGTTATCTCAAGTACTGCCTAGCCTTTCTTTGACGATTGTGGATAAAGGGCAACATTCAACGCCGTCGAGCCTGGCGGCTCCGCCGGAAGATAGGGGCGCCGCGAAACCGGCGATAACGATGATCAAATACGCGAGGCGTCTGCCTGAAAGAGCGGTGGTATATGGATGATTTGGTATACTGGTATGCAAAGAGAGGAATTCCGAACACAAGTCCTATGCACACATTAAGTCCCTAGCGTCAAACGGCCTCCCAGTCCCTTCACATCCCCAGACCTCGCGCCTCCTCTTGATCCCGCGCTCGAGCGCAATATCCCAAACCACAACCTCCCCAAACAGATCCAACAGCGGGATACCTTCCCATCGTGGCAGCCCACCCCCAGGCATATCCAACAACCCCGTCCCCGCACCCGCCTCCGGCAACCCAACAAGCGGAACCTCAAAAAGCGCCTTCTTCCTCTCCCACTCTCTCGGCGGTAACGGCTTGACATGCGCCCCATGCTCCAGATGGTTCGTACTGAACGCCCGTCCGCTCTCATAGTTCGGATACAACATCGCGTACCCCCTCACGTACGCCAGCTCGATGAAGAACCGCTTCCATGAGCGCGCCCAGCGGTTGCTGCGGGCGTTAGGCACGACGACGGTGTTGGAGGCTTTGAGGCGCGGAGGGAGGTAGGCGTGGAATTCGCGCCAGTGTTCGGGGAAGTAGAGGGCGCCCCAGGAGCAGGGGACTTGGGAGAGGTAGGGCGTGTCGCGGGCGTAGCCGGCGGTTTCGAGGACCGCGTGGGCGTCGAAGGAGACGCGGCCGGCGGGGCGGAGTTCGAGGTTCTTGGGCGAGTAAAGGCTGATGCCGAAGAGGTTGGTGGCTTTCATACGCTCGTCGCCGTACCTACATACGAGTGTGAGCATGTGCAAAATGTGGAGCATGAAAGTGCTTTACCGGTAGCGCAGAAGCGCATGCTTGGCCCAAGCATAGAAAAGAGGCGAGACTTCCACATCATCTTCAAGCAAGATCCCATACGAGTCGTTCGAAGACGGATACCAAGACTCGACAACAGCAGGCAGAAGTCCGCCAGCGACGACACGATGATGAACGAACACAGATCCATGGATCCATTGAGCCGAGTACCTCTCGATCAGCGCCAGTGTCTCCGCGTCAGCAGCTTGTTCGACGTTGATGCGCAGAGAAACCGAGTCCCCGTAGTAGCGTGCAGCCAGTAGCGAGTTGAATAAACGTTCGAGAGATGTTGGCCGGCTATCGGTGATGATGCTCAGTTCCACGTGTGGTGTGTTCCAGTCTGGGGCAACACGTAATCAGTATTAGCCATTCACATGCGACGAATGCAACTCACTTTGCCATTCTTTCAAGGAAAGCGTGCACATCCAGTCGCTATAAGGCAGGTCTTCCCGAAGTATGCTGATCAGAGTGAATCTCCCGTGTCCCGCCGGTATAAGGTGGTGCGCGTCAATTGCGGAGATGAGGACGTCAAACACGAAGCATTCAACCCAAGAGGAAACGCCCGTGGGAGAGTCGGCCATAGTATAGGGTATGCTGCAAGAGTCCGTCTGTATGTTGCCAGATTCGCTTCGAAGTACCGTTGAGGCCTGTAACAAAACATTGACCGAGTATCCGGAAGCTTTGAGTCCGCATATGACAGGCGAGAAGCTCTTGAGGTCGTGGATGGACGGCATGACGATGCCGAAACTTGCGATCCTAGCAGCCGTCGTATTGGCCGGAACCGGGATGAAGAGTTGGTTCGCCTCGAGAAGAAGCGAGTTGGCATCCGAGTAATGCGCGTCGACCGGATATGCAGGAGAACTACCAGAGCACCATGCGTCTTCGGAGTGGGAATCCGATGCGGCCAAGACGATACCGCCAAAGCTCCCGCCGTGGAGCATGGCGATCCCCGATCCCAAAGCCGACCAAGAGTCCATACCCCAACCTTCCAGTTTACGCGCGAGCTGTACAGGCAGAAGGAGAGGCGGTACGAGGTAATCCACAGTTTGCTGTGCGCTGGCGGGAGTGACACATTTACCCTGGAGGAACCCGCGGAGTCCAGCTGGTAAGGTGACATCCAGCATCTTCAAATCCAGGGGGGCTGTAGCATCGCCAGTCATGATGAGAACCTCCTTGCTCGAAGATTGTGCGGCTGACTTGAGAACGTCGTCCACGAGTCCTCCTTCCCTTACACGCAGCGTAAGCGATAGACTGGCGTCCTCCCAAAGTCGCTTGTCCATCACTGTACGAAGTTCCCGGCGAACAGCTACGAGATCCTCCTCCAGTACCAGTAAAACAACTTCTGCGAGTTGATAGTTGGTGTGCAGGGCGGGAATACTTTCAGCGAGAGTATGGAGGCTTGTCGTCGATACAGGAATAATGGCAGTCAATTGGGCAGTGTTGATAGAGCGTGAAGCGTCCAGGAAGTCCAGAGCATCGGCATCAGACGGTAGCTCGTAAGCGTGGTGATCGCCCGTCTTCTCTGCGGTGAAGCGCGTCTGAGAGTTGTTGAAAGATGCAGTCAAGTTAGTATCGGTAGGCAGCTGCGAATCCAATGGTGGCGGGTGTAGAGTTCGTTGCATGAGAGTGACGCAGAGAGCACATAGAAAGGGTATAGAGAGAAGACATAGTCTCAAGCTAAGAGGTCGCGTCTTCCATGGATAGAGTAAGCGTAAGAAGAACGGGCGGGCGGGAATCATTATGGCGGTCCGGGTCAAGCCACGCTCGCCCGTGCGCGGTTCAAGCGTGAACG